TTCGGCATGTCTGTCCTTAGGCATAAGGTGAAAGCTGCTTAATGCAAGTTTTTCCTGCAGTTGTATGTGGGACAAGGGCTCAGGATTTCATGCCAAAATAACCTTTGACAGCATGATTATATTGTACATGTGCTGTGACTAGGCAGGCAGGTTGAGCTGAATCTTACATTGCATGTGGAATGTACAGCCCAGTTCTGAGTTTCCTCAAACCCCCTTGAGACCATCACTGAGACATGCAGTCCTTTCTCATTGAAAGCATTTCTTGCAGAGAGATGGACAAGAGAAAGTTTGCTTGTCTTAAACAGTGAACCTGATTTTCAGATCTGCATAGCTCTCACTCTTCTGCCTGACACCAGTAAGAGCTGAAGGTGCTCATCTGTCCTGAAAATCAGCCCCAGTAGGCTTCTTCTGGTGAGAAAAGAAATGTTCATTTTACTTTATTTAGGCAACGCAGGAGCTGGGATTTATAATTTGATCCTGCACTCACAGAAGTCAGGCAGAACTTCCAGTCTCTGAGATTTGGTTTTTGAAAACAAATTCACCATTACCAATGTTTTAGTCTTCAGACCCTTTCAGAACAACAATAGCAAAATTTCAGAGCTCCTTCCGGAGATTAGGTTCAATTTTACAATAAATCCAAGTAGACACCGTTTTTCCTTTGTTGTTTAAATTCATGCACTTACTGGAATTTGCCAGAATTATTTCTAAGGTGCTGTGTCTTTTTTACCTTAGGGCCACGTAACAGGTAGGAGGGGGTTGAGACTCATCATTATAATAATGTTCCTATAAAAAAATTTATTTTTGTGCAGTTGAATTGGTTGTATTAGTGTAGTTTTGTGTATCATTGACATCCTAGACTATGAACAAATGGAGAGTCAAACTTGAGCCATAACTTGAAGGAACCAATGCAGCAATTACAGCTACATACAAAAAGAAGGCTACATATATGAAAATTTTTATGTGTGCACTAAGCTGCACCCATTAAAAATGTAAATCTTTCAGATGTGTACTGAACTGCATCCATTTAAAAATGTAATATAATTACATATGATAACCCACCCAGGAATACCCTTTCTACTCCTGTGCTAGAGCTCTATTGCATATGTTTGCACATACAAACAGAGGCATGTCAAAGTGTCTGTTTACAGCTTTTTAAACCTGGGCTAAGTTTACTTAGTATGGGTCAACCAGCCTCTGTGTCCGTGACCTTACAACTGCTATCAGCACTTGTGCAATTTACAATAGCATTGCAGCAACCAGAAAATAACTATTTCTTTTCTTGCCTTGAATATCTTGTACCTTCTGGTTACTCAGTTATATTTTTAACAAGGCTAGCTGTAGAAAGCTGCCTTAACCTCCAGCTCAGTTCATCTAAGGAAGGTACATGTATTTCACTTATGTTTTTGAGTGCAGTGGTGCCTTGAGTTCTGGCTATGGCAAAATCATTAGTTTTGCTGCTGTCACTGTTTTCCCAACAGCAAAACCCTCTGGTGTGGTGAGGACATTACAGCTCATCACAATAATGACTTCCACATGCTTTACAGATGCACTTGTGCTTGTTCAGCACCTTTGAAACACCCTTTCACATGTCCATTTATTTCTTTCCCTCTCACTCTGTTCTGCTGTCAAGTCATGAAGGCACAAAAGGTGTTCTCATTGCAACTGTCTGTGTCATCAAAAATTAAGGACAAGCCAAGCAGAAGAACCCGAGGACGGGTTCCTTTAGGCAGCCTAAATTATCTGAAAATTTACATCTTGCTTCTTTCTTAGCAGAATGAAACAAACAGTGCCAAAGTTTTTCTTCTGTGCATATGCATAGCCTTCCTAAGAAAAACGTTGACTCTCCACTTGTGTTTGCCGTGCAAACATTCCAGCAGTTGAATTTTAGTGACGTGATGTTTTGAGACAAAGAATTTCAAATCTGCCTGCACAGGTGGCAACTGAATTTCAAATTTGGACACATTTCCATTCACACCAAAAACTTAAGGATTTAGTAAACTGTAGGGGTCAGACAATTAGTCAGCTGTTGATCAGCTAACCCAGATCAAATGAAAATATGAGGTTCTTGTAAGGAGCAGTCAGGATAGCTGTGTAGGCAGCTAGAAGTTTACCTGCACTTCCTTATTTAATATTTTAGAATATTCATCTATAAGTATCTGTTCTTAGAAAGAAGTAATCCTTCCTTCTCAGTTACTTATTACTGCCTAGTACTCCATAGCTGTTGTGTACAGTTTAAATTATACTATAAATACTTTGAGGTTGGAAATGTGTTTTTTAGTACATATTTGTATGACAGTCTCTGACACTGCACTAGAAGTGCTGGGTGCCAGCATCCATATAATGATGTATAAGGTACCACTGGCATACCTTTTGATGGTAAATAAAAAACCCAAACATTTACTATTTAATATTTACACAACTTCAGATTTTGACCAAAAGATATGAAAGCCTGATTTTTTTGTTGTGGGGCTTTTTGGGGTTTTGGGGTTTTTTGTGGGATTTTTTTTTTTTAAAGAGTGTGAAATCTCTCATTGGTTCCTATATGGCACATAGTTTCTTAGCAATATTCTGTAACTGATTTGGGTATCATAGGTACATAATTTCTAAACTAAAGTTTCCATATTGCCAGGAATATTCACTTTTAAAACAGGCAGTGCATGCTCTAGCTATCTGTGTGTAAACCTGTTTGCTTGATTACCAGACAAATTGATGAATGGCTTGTCTTGTGAATCTGGCTTTAAAGAACAGTTATAGCCACTGTTGTAGCTTGGTGAGACGAGTTCATTCCTTCAGCTACCCCACAGCATTCCCTGTGTGGTGAACTACCTTACACGTTGTTGCAGTCTTCTGAAGGAACGCATAGCCTTGTTTGAGACTTACAGTAGAACAGACTGTAAAATGGACAAATTCTTTTGCTGCTTTAGGGTGATGCTGGTGTTACTGGGCGGAAGATCATAGTGGACACTTACGGTGGCTGGGGAGCCCACGGAGGTGGTGCCTTTTCGGGCAAGGACTACACGAAGGTGGATCGGTCGGCCGCATACGCAGCCCGCTGGGTGGCCAAGTCTCTGGTGAAGGCTGGGCTCTGCCGCCGTGTCCTGGTCCAGGTGTGGTTTGCCAAGAATGTTGCCTTTCTCGAAGAGATGTTTCCTTTTCAGATTTACTTGGAATACACATCATACAAGACCCTGTAGTAGAAGTGGTTTCAGTGATGGTTTGGGGGTTGAAGAAGGGAAAATTTGATGTGCTTGGTTCAAAACCACTGTAATGTCATCAATATCAGCTTCTTGAAGCTGGAACTGTTCATTTAGCTTTCGTTTTATGGGCCATTTTTCTGGATTTTTATTGAGCCCTCAACCCTCTGACACTTACTGTTATGGAAATGAGCATGGGATGACTGGATAATGGGAAGAAAGTCATCCAGAGACCTCAGCATTTTCAAAGTATTCTTTTTTTCTATGAATATAGATTGTGCAAATATGAGAAGTAAAGGAGAGGCCTTAGTTTGCATAAGGAGATTCAAAAATGAACGCTTTCCTCTGCTGCATACTGTTGTTCCCTGAGGTGCTGTGTTTATTGGCTAACTATGGTGCCTTTTTTCCACACAGGTTTCTTATGCCATTGGGGTTGCTCATCCACTGTCCATTTCATTGTTCACTTATGGAACTTCCCAAAAAACAGAGAAGGAGCTGCTGGACATCGTACACAAAAACTTTGATCTTCGACCCGGAGTCATTGTCAGGTATAGAAACACACAAAAAGGAAAATATCCTGGTGGTCACATCCTAGAAGTGGCTTCTTCCAAAATCTTTAGCTGTTACACTGTAAGAGGCAGCCTCTTGAACCAGCAGGGAATTGTTCCATGCAGTACAGGAGGACTTTCTCTCATTCTGTCATTTTGTCAGTATTTACAGTTGACAGTTTTTATGGTTCTCCCCGTGTGCCATATATTTTAAGATTACAGATATATTTTTCAAGTTTCATATGCAACATATACTTTCAGCAATTGGCCTTCAATAATATATGGAATTTGAATAAAACAACTTCTGTATTCCAATAATTTTATATTACTTTGCTGTGAAAACAAAGATATGTTTTGTTTTACAAAATTAATTGAAGATTATTTCATGTTTTCACCTACAACTAATAACTCACAATAATAAGGCCTGCAGTCCTAAAGTACTCGACATTTAAGTTGTGTTGTCACTTTTGTTGTCCCCATTGGACACGTTCACTGGTGTGCTTGCATCTCCAGAATATGCTTGTTCGACTAAGTGTGTGAAATGGCTTTCAACATCAGGATTTTAATAGTAGTTATCATGAAGTATCTTAATATAACAAATTTTCTCTTCTTTTTATTATATACACAGGGATTTGGATCTGAAAAAACCCATTTACCAGAAGACTGCTTGTTATGGTCACTTTGGAAGAAAGGAATTCCCATGGGAAGTGCCTAAAAAACTTGTGTTTTGACATTAGCTGTCACCTCTTAAAAACAGAAAGGAAGTCCACTAATGATGAGGGTGCTTCTGAAAATCAAATTTGACAGCTTTGCATTCAGCAAAAGGAATTTTAGATTTTAAATGGAAAGAAAGAAAAGGATATTTTCTTGGAAATTGATTTTTTTTTAACCCTCAGTGTCTTTTATTATCCAAGATATAATGGACAGAGTCTGTTTTTTCAATCAGCATAAGACAACAAAATACAGTTTACTCTTAGCTGCTGCTCTGTTGGTTCTTTTCATAAAGACAAAGTGTGACTCAGGTACTCAAACCAATAGCTGAACCTCAAACCTTTGATGGGCAAAGGTGAAGACAACTTTCCCAACTCTGACTAAGGATCAGCAGATCTCTTGCTTCTAATTAGATGATGGGAAATTCTGGGGTCCAATTTCCTTACTGGAGTTAGCATTGCATACAGCTGGGGGTTGCTTTGATGGGAGAAGGCTGAATATCACACAACCCTATCTTGGCCTCTTTTGTAAAAGATGTTATCCTATATGTAATATTTAAATCACTGTCACTGTATATGTGCTGTTATTGTTGTGTTTCAATTACCTGTGTTTTTGAAACATAAGTGGTCTCCTATGAAACAACAATCATAGAATAAAAAGCTTTTTCCTACCCTGAATGTAAAGGGGTCTCTTTTTCTGTGTTTTGGTTTTTTTTAATATTGCAGTGTAATGGTTCATCTCAACTCAGCCTCTTATACTCTTGTAGGATTTTAGTTTACCAACATAATTGAATTTTTTTATTAGATTTTGGAATTGTGATACAAATTTGTCTTATAATACATGTGTGATTGCTCTTTAGTCCTTGTGATTAGTAGAACCTTGGTGAATAAGTATTCTTATTTGTGACTCTTAGGTTGGTCTTATACAGTATTCTTCCATAATTTTTGCTCCCAAACTTTAGGTTTATTGCATGGCTTTCTGTGTTGGATGTAATTTGGGAATAAAGTAAAGCACAGAGAAATAACTGCAACATAACACAAAGCATGAGGTTAAAATTTGGCCAGAGAGCTGGGCCCTAGCTGGCTGTGTGTGCCCCACGCGCACAGAAAAACATCCTTGCCTGTGGGGTTTGGGTACTGCTGGGTGGTGTGCTCCTGCTGGAGCCAGTGACAACCTCTGCTCCTGACAGGTCAGGGTTGCTGCTGTGCACGTGGGCTGGATTGGTCCAGGCTGAGGGCAAGGACGTTTCTGTGCCCATGTGCTGTGTTCTCCTAGATTGTGGTGAGCTACTTTTCGCAAAGGACTGTGGATTAATCACAGGTTTGTTTAAATTTGAAGCCTGTGAGATCTTCTGTGATCAGCTTTGTTTGTCAGTAGGCAACAAGGGGGACTTAATTCTGAAATACAAGAGTTATCTGTGTATGGCCCCCAACAGGGACTTCGTGGTTTACCCAGCTTTCTATTAAATCTTCTGCGCTGGAGAAATGCTGCCACCCTGTGTTTATGTCCTAACTAAATGTCTTTGTACAGTGCCTCCCAAATAGATGTGGTGGAGAGTGGCTGACCGTGATGAATGCTAAAGGAAAAGCTGCCATTTATTCCTTTCAAGTATGTCATAAACACAAAGTCTATCTGGTCAAGCCAGAGGTTGTTCCTCTTTATTAAGTACGCTAATGTTCCTGAGATGGCATAAGAAGACACTTCTTTGTGAATGTGCTGGATGTCTTGCTGTTGGCTTAACTTCTTCAGGATCACCTGGTCGTAATACATCAGATTACAACCAACAGAAGCAAATGAATGAAAAATTTTAAAAAAAAGAAACCTGAGAAAGTAAGTGCCTTATAAATAAATGTGGTGTGTAACACAGCACAGAAGCAGCATGTCCATGTCTCAACAAAAAAAACCACCTGTGGACAAAATGAACAGTTCTGCTCTGGTAGTGATAGTAACAACAATTAAAGGTTTGTTGGACAGGAGGGGTGGGTGGGGGTTGTGTCTGTAGCTGACTGATGGCCAGGCAAGGCTTGGCAGTGTGTGTGTGTGGGGGGGGGTAACAGGCTGTCAGATGAAAGGCTATGTCTGTGAACCCTGGATTTTACAGATGGGGTCAGCACACCCCTATCATGTTAGCAGTAGCTGGATAATTGGATTAATCTGCTAGTAAATGTGTAGGGTAAATGATCAAACTTCTGTGGCAATTCTACTAGTTATTCAGCTTTTTGCCATTAGTGGATATGAGCATATGAGGTTCATGGCTCCATGAAAAAAAAAAAAAGTAGCTAAATTCTGGATGCTACAGGATACAGGGTATAACCCCTTGGTTCAAATCAGTTGTCATTTGATGTTCTGAGCTTTCTCTTGGACCATAAGATATGAGGTGGAGCCCTGTAGGTAAGGCATTCTTATGTCTTCTATGAGAGTATGTGTGTGAGAGAGACAGACAAACAGAGACAGATGGGAAGGTAGATAGAGAGCAAGAGCACACAAGAATGTGCATACACTAAACATGTTTACAGTAAACCAGTTAATCTGAAAATTTCCCAGTGGAGTTGGCAGCAGCAGAGAAGCCGATCCGGCTCAGTACCCTAAAGAGAACGCCCCTTGCCCTCTGTAAACCCTGCTGGCAAGCTCTCCTTGGGCTTCCTGGCAAGTAGGGCAGCATGTTCATCCCCCTAATCCCTTATCACAGCTCTGCCTTGGAGCCAGGCCCACTGTAAACAACCAGTGACCCAGAGACAGGCAGCTCTGTGCCTGACTCCAGTGCTTTTGCTCCTGGGCACCACAAGCAACAGGTAATTAGCCCCTGGTCTCCTGTAGGAAAAAAATGTTGTTCTGCTCCTGCTCATGGTGGAAAACACTGGTTTTCCTAAGTTCAGCACTGCTTCTTGCAGGTAAGTTATTGCCATTCTTGAATATGGTTAACAATTATTAGTATTATTAATAATTAGTATTACAAATTATAAATTAATTTTATAAAAATTAGTATTAATAATGATTATTAGTGGCTGTCTTACAGAAATGAAGGACCCTGCTCAGGAACCCAGCCCCAAGAGGCCACAAACGATGTTCAGATTGCTAACTGCTTCAAATAAATCAATATTTGTACAGCTTATTCACATTTGAGCCCTGATCACCTCAGGTATACAAGACAGGACTAGGACTGCAGGATAGTGGCACAATTCCTCTAAATAAGCACTATGATGTGGTATTTGGGGTTTGTTGATGTGTCAGGAAGGATTATTACATTGCTAAGTACCTGCTTCTGCTTGTCTTTTAGATTTTACTGAAATCGGAGCTTTTGCCAGTCCAAGTGAATGCGAAAGTGCAACCATAGATGATGTGAATGAGAGTCTTGAGGTAAGAGCTTGGCTGCACTGGCCACTCCAGGGCCTGCTCTGCACCCCCCTCCTGTGCTGGTGGGCTCCTGCCACCTCTGCCTGGGCTGGCTGGGCAAGCACGACTCATGTACTGCTTTGGCAACGTGCAAGGTACGTGCTGGGGAGGGAGGAGAGGACATGCAGGGGCAGAAAAATATCAGTGTCATTTGCTTTGCCATGTCTTTGGTCCTGCTACTGCTAGACCAAAAAAATGTCCTTGTGGATTTATTTTCCAGTTTTGCTTTGCTCTGGATACATATAAAGTGGCTTTAACATAAACAGTATAGCTATATAAATAACAATAGCTAGCTAAGAATTCATTAACTTCTTTGTTTGCACGCATTCACAAACAGATTTTTTTTTTTACACACACAAACATACAGAGTCTGTAAGGTGCCAGCATTCAGAAGATAACTGTAACAAACCAGTGTTTTATATAGAAATAAAGTACATATAGTTATTTACAAAGGCATCTTTTCATATATAGGAAGAAAACCACCAGTCCTCTTCTTGAGCTCAATATGATGGAAAAATCCTATCTAGTCACAGTTTTAAAAGAAAGCCAGATTTCTTTCAAAACATTGTAGGGAGATTAGGATTACTGAAAGCTATACAATTTTCCAGATGGTTCTCGTTATGTATTAAGAAAAAAAAGAAAAGGAAAAATATATGACCACTTTAATTAATTAACTCCAAGGCTCCAAGGTTTTTCCTCTTAAACTTAGACATTTTCTCCCTTATATCCATAGAAATATTCAAAATGCCTTCCTGAAATGATTGCCAAGGGTAAGAAAACGTCAATCAATTCCCTTGTCTGGACACTGCAAGAAACACTTGATCTCCTGCGCCCTGTTCAAGAGAAATGTGAGTCCCCTCCTGTACCAACGCTCCCCTTTCCTGGTTGTTAAGTGGCAGTGGAGAAGCATTAAGAAAATTTGTTCTCCCTGTAGTCATAGTAAAACAAATGTCTGCATTTCTTGGTGGAAATAAGCAGCAGGAGGTACAGGTGCTTAACCACTGGGCTGGCAGGGACTGGGGAGGCACAGCAGCACAAATATGAGCAGACCCTCTGTTCCTGCAGCTCAGACACCGGTGCTGAGCAGCACTGAAGAGTCACAGGGGCAGCAGGGCCATCTCCACCCTCCAGCCAGAGCCTCCTTGGTGTCTGGGAGCCAGTATGCCAGTCATATTTTTCCAAGAAATATTTGGCTAATTTTGGCCATACTAGTACTGAATGTCAGTGCTGTGAACGTGAATACCCCTTTGAGCCATCTCTGAAGTGTAACTGGTGCTGACACTGTTGTGGTGGGAAAGTGATGGGAAAATTGGGTGTTGCCAAAAAAATAAAAAGGGAAAAAAAATCTTCAAACAAGCGAAAATGCTTACTTTGACAGTCAGCTAGTGGGGGCAGTTATCAACCATACCCAGGTCAAAGAGTTTGCTTGGGAAGGGGAGACTTTTATAATCACTTTCACTCTGATACATAGTTTTCTTGCTTTTTTGTTTGTTTGTCTGTTTGTTTTGGGGGTTTTTTTGTGGTTTTTTTTTGTTTTGGTTTGGTTTTTTTGTTTGTTTTTAATCCACTCAAAAGTTTGCAAGCAGCTGCCTCCATGCCCTCTCCCACTGGCCCCAAGAAACGGTGGGCTGGTGTGTGTCACCATCGACAGCGCTCAGTACTGCAAACCCATGTGCAACAAGGTAACACTCGTGGCTTACTGCTGCTATATTGCTGCATCCATGCAGTAATTTACAGCTGTTTATTGTGTAATGCATAATTTTCCTTGCTATGCCTTTTTGTGTTCCTTAGAAGGATTGGTTGTAGTGTTTATATTGATCTTCGCTGGCTGAATGTTTCTTCATCTTACAGTTACCATGACCTATCCTAAGACACTGTTTGTTTATTTGCTCCCTGTCATTGTTTCCCAAGGGTTATGACTTTCAGTTCCTCAGAAGCAGCAGACTGTATGAAGTATGTGGCAATGCCACTGGGTTTTCCTGGACCACGCAGCTTGCTGGGGGAAAGGAACTGGCTGTTTGCAACCGTGAGTATTCCTCAGACATATCTGTTCATGAGGACGGGAGGCTCTGTCTCTTTTGTTTAAAAAAAAGGAGGAAAGAAAAGGTTTTCTTTCTTGGCACGTGTAACAACCTTGGCATGTGTGACATTTTGAGAGCTAGCTCTGGGCTGGCAAACTGCTGAATGAGAAATCACGTTAGCTTTAAAATTATCACAAAGGCCTGAGCACTGCCATTTCAGCTTGGGATAGCAAATATGACATATGTGCAATATTTGTGGGAAGGTGCACCTTTTTTTTTTTAACAGGAAATTGGTATCACCTTGACACAAACCCCCTGTTGCACAAAGTCTGTGTGACCCACTGGACAGACAGCAGTAGAATATAAAACTGTTTATCTTGCAGCAGTACTTGCAGAATCTCAGTAAAATTGGCCAGCACCTGCACTATTCCCTGTGTGTACACAATAAACCCCAGCAGCTGGTCCCCAGCCAGCGTCTTCATGCAGCAGCCCAAGGGTTTTAAGTCTGCTTCCCTTGTGCCCATTGAGCAATCTGTGACCCTGAGCAGGCTGTCTGACTCTGCTGTTATTGCCTTAATTTAAAAACAAATGTGTATATAAATACACAAATGGGCTACCCTATCTCTCCTATGGTTAGTGGAAAAATATTTTACTGTTGACAGTGCCTTGTTGCTAAAGCAGTTGTTTTCTAAGGCTTAACAAAAGCAATCATCAAGGCACTTTTATTCCAAGTTGGAGACTAGTCTAGCACTTGTTTAAAGACCAGGACAAGTCTAAGCTAAGTAATTCAGCTGCCTTTTTTTTTTTTTTAATTTTCCTTTTGGTCATCTTTGATCTTTCCAGCCTCTGAGATGGCCATCGGTGGAGCTAAATCTGCCTATTTCCCCAGCAACAGCACCTGTCTGCACACAGTAGCCTTCCCTGAAACTCAGAGAGAGCAGCTAAACATCTTCCTCAAAGAGCTTGCTGAGCAAGGCATTGACAGCTCCAAACGGGATGAGGAGGCTGATTGTATCATCTGCGGTTACTAGCACAAAAAAGCTTGTGCCACAGACCAGCCAGCTGCCTGCAGTCTGACATGGGTATTTTGACAAGAGAAGCAGAGCAGTGAAATCATTTCTAAGACATGTAAGCATACAGCTTTTATTTAGTTAAAGGACTAGAGACCATAGTCACAATATGACCTCAGCTTTGGCGTACAGAGATATAGACTAAATCGAATGACATAGCTCATGGTAGAAGTGNTACAGCTTTTATTTAGTTAAAGGACTAGAGACCATAGTCACAATATGACCTCAGCTTTGGCGTACAGAGATATAGACTAAATCGAATGACATAGCCAAAGAAAGAAGTTCACTTTTATGGCTTAAATTTGTCTAGCTGGAATTAAATAAGGATTACAGTTTTTTAATGGATGCAGTCATTATTTAAACACACTAATTGTTATCAGAAATCGTTCTCTGTCAGGGGTCATCTTTGATGAGAAAGGGCCATAGTTCTACTTACTTTTATAGTTGCCAATTAATCACTATTGTTGCTCTGATGAACATTAAAACAATGAATGTCATAACAGTTACTGGTTGTAGGGATGTAATTCTTTATTTATGTGCCTGCTTGACTGGGGTTTAGAACACCAGCAGAAAACCTGTCCATTGTCCACCTGGCACTTGGGGCAAGTGAAGACCAAAGACAGCTTAGCCCTGGTAATTCAGTTAATTTGTGGAGCTGTAGCTACCAAAGAGATGTGCATGTGAATTATTATGAAATGTAAACAAGAAGCTTAGTTATTGCTTGGTTTTTAGTGGAATCTGTGCTTGGAGTTATATTTTAATTTTCTTCTGTTGAGCAAACACTGAAGCTGTAGGTCTGAAGACAGACAGCTCATCTGTTTGTGTTTCCTTTCCCTTCTTTACCTTTTTCCTATTCCTGACAATCTCTCAGACACAGACAGCATAGTTTTGTGCTACATGATGTATAATTGACCTTTACATCATTAATTGGATAAATGATTCAGATATATATTTACATGCTTATATTTCAGACTTAAAATCCAGTCACTACAAGCAAAAGAAAACAGCAGCTGCTTTTGGGCCCAGGAGCAGACAGTCATATGACAATGAATAGAGCAGATAATTACACCAGCAAAGGGATGATTTGGCTGCTTTGGCTGCTTATAAACCATGCAGCAGTAACTTAAGTCATTATGTTGGAGACAAAAGTGCTGTAGTCTTAAAGAAAAGCAATGGCTTTTGAATCACTGGTGGGTTTGTTTATTTCTGTCAAACAAATGATCTCTATCAAACGAAATTGTAATGGGTTTGAGTCTTTTCAGCCAGTTCATTAACAGCTGATGCTCAGCTAAAATATCTGGAGCAGTTTCCAGTATATTTTTTCAACTGGTGTTAAAAAACATTTTTTCTCTCAATTATATTAATCTATTCTGATGGCTTCCTAAACCAACCAAAAAAAGAAAACTAATATTGTATTTTGTAAGGAAATCAAATCCATTGCTCTTGTAAATGAACAGAAACTATTAAATCTGTTTAATTAAATTAATTCTGTGTGTCAGAAATCCTGATAATGAGCATCACATAATGTGGAAGAATTAGGCTGGAAAGCTTTAATATGATGTGCCATAAATTTGATATTAAGCTGTAGATTAGGTTGCTGGGTGTTTTTGTTTTTGGTTTTTTTTTCCAAAAACTTGCAGAGAAACAGTTTTGTTCTATGCCCACCATCCAAGTTATCATTTATATATTAGAAAGGGAGGTTGACCCAATAAGCCTCTACAAGACAGTTAAAAACTGAAGTAAACTTGATAATATTATTTCCCAAAGTAAATTTGCATAATTTTATTTCAGGCAAACAGTTGCTGTATGTTTGCATTAACCTCACGTTGGTGTTTGTCCAGGCGTGTCTGAGCATTGGGCCATCCCTCATGCTCCTGCTCCAGGATGGGGGGGGGCTTTGTGTTCTGGCACTTGGATGTTGCAGAGAGAAAAGAACTCATATGGAAGGAAAGACATTAAGAACATTTTAGGCGAGTAAGTTTTCAGATCAGACAAAAGAAGCACAATATGCTTATTTATTGCACCATTCTCTGATTATTTATTTTTTTAGGTTCTGCAATACAACCAGGCTAAAGTACTACCTCCCTAGAGTATCCTGCATGCTTTTGATAAGTTCACTTGCATAACTGTCAGTCATTTCAGCTAGAAGGCTTTGGTAATATTTACAGTGTAACTATAAACAGCGAGGCTTTCCTGATATTAATTAAGGAAATACAATGCTGCATTATGCTTGCTTCTCTTTCAGGCCATTATAACACAAGAGAAGAACTCAGTCTAGGAACTGAGCCAATAACAGTAATTAAAATATAGCCAAAAGATGAAAGGCAAAGTGCTCAGAACTGTAGTTCACGACGACAAAATTACACCCATTCTCTACTCACAGGAGCTAAGCAGCAATAGACTGGTAAACCCGCTGCTTTTGGGTGGATCTTGGGCAGAAAGAGTGATCCTGAGAGATGTGATCGTTCCGAACCATCCTCTGCAGGGATGGGTGGTGTGGCAGCTGTTTGCAGGGCTGGCTCACACCGAGCCGTGCAGGGAGATCTGCGGCTCACGCTTCATCCTCCAGAGCACCACGGCAGCGGGGGGCAGGAGCATGAGGAGACTCATGGTCAGCACTGCGGCGAGGATCACCAGCAGGATTTGCCACGGGGCCAGGACTGTTTCCACCGTTATTTCCTCCATTTCAAGAGTCCGAGGCTGTAAAGCAAAGAGGGACACTGCATTATTTTCTTCCAAATGGGACTTATGATCTGTGTACATGCGTTTACTTTAGCCAGCCTGGGCTCTCGCCCTCCCGGTGGGTTTTCCTTCTGGCCTTGGGAACGACTCCCTTTCCTTGGCTGCTGGTCCAGGATGGCTCCTTCCTTTTCCTTTTCCTTTTTTTCCTTTTCCTTTTCCTTTTCCTTTTCCTTTTCCTTTTCCTTTCCCTTTTCCTTTTCCTTTTCCTTTTCCTTTTCCTTTCCCTTTCCCTTTTTTTTTTCCTTTTTTTCTTTTCCTTTCCCTTTTCCCTTTTTCCTTTTCCTGTTTTTCTTTTCCTTTCTCTTTCCTTTTTCCTTTCCCTTCCCTTTCCTTCAACAGATTCTACAGTCTTTGATATTTTAGTAGGTCACCAATTCCACTAAATTATGCTAATTAAGTATGCTAAATAAAACCAGATATTTACTACTGAAATTCCAGTATCTTCTACAAACAGGGCTTACAGCTCTCATATTGTCTGCATATGAGAGCTGCTCAGTGAGATACAAAGATGAACTCCCAGGTGCTTTAGCACAACTGGAGCTGCAGAACACTTCTTGTTTCGCAGAGGTGTGAACATTCTTCTCCCAGGCACATAATTATTTTAATGGAAAAGCAAGTCAAGAGGCATAAACCAGCAACAGTGATGACTTGTTCTGCTTCATTTTCCACGCAGTCAGTGATTAAAATATTTAGCCTTCAAGTGGGGGAAAGTAAGTGCTACTGTTTACTTGTTCTCTAACTTAACTGCCAATTTCCTATTAATAGTTAGAGATAATTACAGATGATTTGTTTTCTAAAGAGGGAGGTCATTGCTGCTGCAATGTCCATAGTGTGCCTTGTAATCATGTGCACCTGCAGAAAGGTGAATTTCTCTGACACTTCTTGTGTTACAAGCAGAGGTAGGAAATGGTAGGAACATGAAAAGTTTTGAAACGTGGATGTCTGGCACAGTCACGGACTTGAAATGAGGGTGATGATCAAGAGAGAACTATACTGCAAGTTAAAAGCATCACTTAAAACTCCTTCCTATAAGAGCCAGAAATCAAATTAATGAGTTTGGTACCTAAGAGAAAAGGCTGCATTTCAACTATATAAAACCTTAGAAAGATCTAATGATGCTGCTTTGATCTCTAGAGGGCTAAACCTTTCAAACCAAGAGTGTATGAAAATTCTCAGAATCATTAAATATTAAAAGAAATTTCATTGAAATTGTTTGTTATAAATATCTCCCTCTACAAATAACACTTGAATTCCGTGCTAATTGTAATAGTTTAGTATTCATTTATGCAGTATTTCGGCATTTATAAAGCATGCTGTAGTTTAGTCTGATTAAGTAAAATCTGCATATATTTAGCTTCCTGTGAGTAAAGTCAGAGCAGGACAAAAATCTAGATTAAAATACTTTACAAAAATTATGAAATTTGGGTGAAGAAATGAAATACGTGAAACCTGGGAGAAGATTTTGAAAAAGAAAGTTATGATGAAGACAGAGAATATTTAATAAGGTAAAAATGGTATAGCACACTATTGGGATTATGCTGATCATGCCTTTAGTTTCACCTCACTTCCAAAGGAAGCATGTGATTACAATAAAAGTTAAAATGCAAGAGAATTTTCTCAGCTGTTATTTAAAGGAATCATCAATCACACTTTTCTGGACCCAAAGATTTTGACTTTCTTATTTTGTCTAACGTCAGATAACACATTCTGACATATGTCTATTATTTTTCTGATTATTGAATGTGTAGCAGAGATGAGTTACCTACATCTGAGTCAAACAGACATTTCTTGTTCTGAAATATCTAGATTTTAAACACGTTTGAATTACTTATGCAAACTGATCTAAGTTTAAAAGGAGAAAAAAGCATTGCCCTATGCAATTTAGTTGCAGACATAATTCTAACTATTTAGCAATTTATTTTGATATTAGTGAACTTAAAATAAATTATATGAATGGCAACTCTACAGTTTCTTCTTCATATCTTCCCTGCTGACAACCTTTTAACCAAATGAGAAATAATTTAACTATCCCTTTATTTTTGCAGGAATGCCACGAAGCAGTTGAATTTGTGTTGAATTTTTTCACCTTTCTCAACTTGACTACCTGAAATAAGTTCTGGCTTTCTCTAAAACTTGTGTGGCCCTGCAGGTATTCAGATCTTTTCTGTCTACTCTTACCTTCTCAGTGTCCTCAAGGTGTCTTGCACAAAAAATCGTGTTGCTTCGTTTGGGTGTCCATCCTCCACCCTCAGGCAGCAAGAGCGTGTGTTAGAGGTGTTCAATCTGCAGAACGAACGAGGGAGGGTGAGGGCAGCGTCCCCTCACCTGTGTGAGGCTCAGGTGAGCACAGCAGTGTACACAGGTACTTGTTTGTTCAGTGGTGCTTGTGTTGCCTCCCACTTGGTGTTCTTAAAGTGGCACAATCCTTTCCAAACAACTGATGAAGCTGGCCTGCCTTGGCTGCAGTTTGCTTGGAATCAGCAAAACAATAGCTGGCTGTTCCCACATGCACAAGCTGCTTTAGGAGATAGTCACTTGTAGTGTAAACTGATGGCCTGTTTTTTGCCAGGAAACCACTTGGGCTTTCCGTGTAAATCATTTTATTTACTCAGAAGTGAGTAATCTGATTAACTCATATTCTGACTGATTATTATTATTATTATTATTATGAATAGCACATGCAGCTTCAGAGATGAAGGTCACTGCAAATTCAAGGGGTTCATACACCCACATCTCTTCCAACTATGCACGTTCTACAACCTACTTTGCTACTTACAAGCTTAGCTTTATTTACATATCTGAAAAATCACAGCTATGCTCAGGCTGCTGCAGTATCCATTGTACAGAGTAAAGAGCACATAGAAACGTTTTCAGAGGCTTTGCTAAGCCAGCTCTGGCTCTGGTCCATGCTGTTGTGGAGGTGGCATTACACAGTCCCTGAGAACTGGCCCTCCTGCCTGAGCACAGTACTGCATCTGGCCCTTGTCTGTTGACAAGGGAAGGTGTGAAGGACAAACTGCAGTCTGGGTCTTTCTACAAATCAGAGGATGCTATACTTCCCTCTCATTCAGATTTAGGGAATAAATTCAGTGCCCAAATCTTGAACCAATTTGTTTTTCAGGCCAAGACTGCTGTTTCCAGTCCTGCCTGCTGTCATCAGGGTTGCTGGAGGTGACAGTGTCAGGCAGGATGACAAATATTTGCTTTGAGGTTTTTTATGTCCTCACTTAGAACCACAAGTAGCTACAGTGTCTGAACAGGCTTAGCATCTGTAGCTGTGCAGTAACACACAAAGTCCTTTACCCTCTTCCCTGGGAGCCCATGGGGGAAAATGGCCAAAGATGGCATGGTGATGGAACATTTCTTCTGTGGCACATATTCATTAGACTAACACTGAAGGCAGCCACTTTTTCAGTTACCTGCACATATCTCTAATTTTGAGATAACTCTGTAACTCTCTGGAGATAAGAAAGATAAAATAAAAAAAACTTACCTTGGCTTGAAATGTTTGGTGGTGGTGGGGTGTGTGTCCAAATTCATTCCCAGGATGATGTTAATCATTGTAAACTTCCTAAGCTTTACTGGAATATGAGTGGAAAACTACTACACGAGGCGATGCTCACGATCCTGTTTCCTTGTGCTCATGGCAGAGCTGGTTTCACAACAGGAGTCACGCAAGGCTGAGGACATGGACAGGTGAGCTGGTGGGTGCAGGCAGGTACTGGTGAGCTGTAAAACATTTGTGAGTGAGAATAGAGTTAGAAAGTGCCACAGTGCCTGTGGACTCCTGAGTCCTCGCTTCCCCTCTATGTACCTTTCAGCTGGATTAATACAGCAGCCTACCTACACCTCAGATGATATGGGGTTCAGTAGTTTATATTTTGGCTATGTTGTCCAGAAACAAGGCATTAGTTAACACCTTGCAGATCTCCTTACATACTAAACACATGCATGGATAAACTGAGGACTTTCCTCACATAAGTTTTATCTTTGCATGTGTTGAGATAATTTTACAGCTCTTGGAAACATGGTCCTATTTAGTATGCATTGTGATGAAGGATTTGAATACTGCTGGAGTGAATAATTAAGTAACCTGTGGAGGTAGACCACCTGCAGGCACCAAACTGTTCAAGCAGAAAGGTGTCTTGGTTTGAAGTTAGCCCTGTTGCATTAATCATCCTAAGTAAATACCTGTAAGATAAATTGCTTAGCTTGCAGAGAATAACAGCAAGAATGATTTGCAGGCCCTGACATCAAACACAGGGCTGAATTGTGGCCAGGAAGAGCCATGCCTTGTCACAGAGCAGGTGGCGAGACCTTGTGCTCAAAATAATTTAGTAATTGAATTTAAGCCAGTGCAGGAATGTTGTGCATGGCAAGTTGCTGCTCTGGAATTACAGTGATGTGCAGAGCTACGAGGCTCAAGCAACCCCTTTGCTGGCCCCTGGGTTCACACCAGCTGTGAGCATGCCTTCCCTCCCCAGTTACCTTCATACTTTGACTGTTCTGTCTCCCTGTCACACAGAGGGCAATGTTTCCTTGCTCAGCTGTCCATGACCAAGCTGGAACTAACACAGTGCGAGTGAGTGTGACTGATGGCCAGGCACTTGGATTTACGTGTATGGAGACATGTCCAGACACTCAACCAGCCTTTGTGCCATGTCATGGAGCTTATGCAGAGCCTTTAGCCTGAGCTGGAAAGTGCAGGCTCTGAGCAGCTTCTGCAAGGAGTGTGGAGTATTGGCTGCTTCAGCAGAGTAGGTATCCACCAAGCTTAGCCCTGTGGGCATCTCAGTGAGGGCCTGACAAACAGCACTGTGGTGCCCAAAATTATTTGTCCCTGAATCTCAGTATAATCTAACTTAAAAAAATTGGCTTTGTCATGGCTCTACTGATCTAAACCACATGGTAACTCCTGTTAGCTCCTGTGTTTTCTCTTCCACACACATCCCATGTGGCATAGAACCTTGGGTTCACTCCTTTGAGTCAGAAAGGGATTAGGAGTTGCTGAAGGGGCTCAGGACTGGTGGCTTCTGGTCACCATTTTTGAGGTATATGAAGGCTAAAGACCTGCTAACTCCAAAGTTTCCTGTGGGAAATGTAAGGTGGGTGAGTCCCCTGTGTGCTCATGGCTCTGTGTCACCCTCTCAGCATTGCTCATGTCTTCCTTCAAGGGACCTGTTGTGGGTGAGAGTGGCCAAGGAAACACGGGCTTAGCAACAACAGTGGTAGCAGGAGTGTCTGTACAGGTAGTTTTGGTAAGGGAAACTTACAGAAAGGGATCAAAATACACATGACTTTGAGGCTTATGGGTCAAGGGGTGCTGGAAGATCTTATGGCTGCAAGTCACTTTAGGTATGTGCCCAAGAAATCTATTTTTTGGTCTTGTAATAAATTACCAGTCTAACAGCAGCGGAAACCCATAGGCAGTAGTATTAAGAGACTCAGTGGGCAATGAATAACAAAACAGGCAAAACGGTCACTGGTTTTGTTATAAACAATTTCCTCTTTATAGCTGGCATTTGTTTAAAAGATAAATCAGGCTGGGAAAGAGTGAATTTTATTTTTTCATGCTGCATTGTCTGAGTTCACTAGCTACAAATGAAGAGACAACCAAGAGAGAAGCATATTCCAGAAAGCCTGCCAGAGAGCAGCAAGGGAAGCACTAAAACTGGCAGACAATAAGGCGATTCTGGTTGCACCTTTTGTCATTCCAAGTGCCATCAGTGTACATCTCCACACATCCCTCCTCCCCTTTGCCAGAAGGTTCTTTTAAATGCCAGTTAGTATAGCTCAGCTTTGTACCATCCAGAAACTGGAATTTGCCTGGAATAAGAGATTCCTTTACCCCTAGGTAGGCGTAGGTATTAAAAGTTTTCACAAAGTACCGAATGGCATCATTCTCGCCCTGGTTCCTCGGAGCAGCAATAGACCCTCCAGCTTCTTTGCATTTTTGCAGCGTAGTATTGAAATCAGCCCTTTCCCCACTGATAGCAAATATTTTTCCTCCAGATTCCGTTATCATCTTTTCCAAGCGGAGGACTGCAAGATGAGGTGAAAGCTGTTAAACTGTTGTGCATTGTTTTGTGGTGACTTCACTGCCAATTTTAACTCCTGCTATTTTCCTCCATAACTTTAGATTAAACTCAGGAAAAGATAAAGGAAAGGTGAACTTGAAATCAAAGCTAAAAAAAAGGAAGGAAAAAATTTAACCCTCAAAAGCCAGAAGAAATCTGAAAATGAGGAGAAGGGAAAAAGGGAAGAAGCACATAAACACACAGTCAGTGAAACAGGAGAAGCACAAAACAGGTTGGAGAAGGAGGGAAGGAAGTGAGGAATTCTACATTTGGAAGAAGTATATGACTTTCTTTGAGACTCTCTCTAAGACCCTGAGATGGTTTGCAGTATACAGATGTCCTTGACATTTGGTGTTATGTGCTTGAGTGAGTAGGATCTTAGATGTGATCTAATTGTGATTGTTTTGGTATGTTTTCAGTGTTCAGTTTATTTGTCTGTTGGGAGCATGAGGTGCCCATGGAGTAGTTCAGCATAAGCAGGGGTTTTAATCTGTTTCATTTCTGACTTGCTTGCACTCCTGCTTCAGAACTGGTACCCAGGCATCCCCCACTGACTATGAAAATCTAATCCCCCATCCCCCCCATTTGAGAGTTATCATGCATGATATAAACAGGATATAAATAGAATGCAACAAAACTGGAGAAAATACTGCCTTTTTCCTAAGAAGCCATTTTTGCTCATCTTGTCTATCCCCACTAATCAAGTTACAGCAGAAAGTAAAGGCAGATAAAATACCTCCTTCCAGTCTGGAAATCCGACGTTCCAATTGATGATTAATGTCTCCACCAGCCACCGGTTTGGAAGCTATGAACAAAAGCAGCTATTATATGCTTTGTGTTATAGTTTGAGTCTTGGCTTTCAAGATAAAGCACAGGTTAATCATGGAAAATGAATGTGAACTTTTAAAATGTTTGACATAGTTTAGTTTACTGCTGTGTTTTAAATAGGGGATATCTTTGTACATTGATCTTTGTAAGGATAGGGGATACGTTCCTGGCAATTACCTGTTTATGGAAAACTGGAATTGGCAAACTGAGTTAGTCTTCCCTCTAAGTGATTGAGCCACTCCACTCAAAACGCTGGCACTTGTGCTGTAGGTTTAGCTGATTTTTAACTGTGTCTAGGGACTGAATCCTTGATAGAATTCTTTAAACCGTTCAAGCACTTTCTTGCAGCTCCAGCCTAAGCACTTCGCAGCAAGTTCCTTCTGCTATGGAAAATTATAACCTTTTCTTTGTGGATTGAACCACTGCATCATTAAATAGGAGAGATTTAGATATCTTACTTCATACAAAGAATTAATAAAGATCTGATTACTTTCTCTCAAGTAGAACCCACAGCAGATTATGCAAGATAGCACTGAGTTTACCAAGCATAAAAATGGAACACAGCAGATAAAAATAGAGATGGTAACTTTACGTACTTGGTATAAATCCTTCATTTGTTTCACCTCCAGACAAATACTTGAAAATATATGAAAGAAATCCTGCAGGTGTACCTTGGGCACATAATGGGAGCAGGAAAAAAGCTACTCCTAAGATTTTGTGGAACATCTGTGGAGACAGCATCATTTAAAGCCAAAGGTAAAACAGACTGGTTGTCTCTCCAGTATAGAGTCCTGTAATAAAAAAAAAAAACAAAAAGGGGGGGGGAAATGTTTCAGAATTTTGCTGTCTGGGTGTGAAGTTTTCTGTATGTTAAGCTTTGCTTACAGTGACATGAATACCATTAATGTAGTTACAAAATTAGCTTCTTTCAAATCATTAAAATATTTTTCCAAAAGACAGTCTGCTACTCTACAAAAGTCCACAGAGCAAAAACCCAAAACATCCCTTTCAGAGCTCTTCTTTGTACAACAGATATCATTATATGCCATTCTGCCCCATGGAAAAAGCTATAGTTTCAATTTTAATTTTACAGGAGAGCAACAGACACATGGTTGCTTTAGCAAGAGAAAGTTGGTTTAGGACAAACTGGGTCAAGCTGTCTTTATCAATTGGTTTAAGAACAAAACAATTTTTAAAGCTCATTCTTCCATTGCAGCATCCATTTTTAACATATCTTCACAGCAGGTGACATGATCTATAAATATAGGCGAAAGTGATAATAAAAATGTTGAGACATAAATCAGAAATGGAAAATTTTGTAATAGTTTAATAGATTCAACGAAATTTAAGCAAAAACTTATTAAAAGATGTTCAACTTACCTAGCAGCTCCAATACGAATTAAAAAAGGCTTATTAAATGGTCTAATTTATAGGGCATGTAACTTGAGATTCATCTTCTTACTTACAGGAAATACAAAGAACATGTCATCTGATATGAATTTGCATATGATTTTCTTCAAGAGGCAAACATACTTAAAATGTGAGGAAAATACTTGAAGGTACTTTTTTAATTTGTAGAAACACTTTCACACGTTTTAAAACACCAAACCTAGAGCAGAACAAAGCAATTTCTCAATACATGTTTGAAATACCTGATGTTTCCACAGAATGGCTGTGTAAATGTTAAATTGGAAATGTCACTGAAGATAAGCCAAAACAAATTCACCTGGAATAAAATATGAATCATCATTCTCATTACAGACCAAGGCATAAAGGAGACAGCTACAGAAGCACATACTTAAATATCTTACAGAATACTCCAGGGGAAGCTTATAGATCGTAAATTACAGTTTTCTCCAACAGAACAATGACCTTTCAGTGAAGGAAAAAGCTGCTCTACACCAGTCTTGTGAGTACAGAGGCCTCAAGATGAAGAACATCACTGGTGCCTTGCCAAGCATTTTAGAGTTATTGACAGCTGAGAGTTGGTTCTATTTAATGGGGACTTTCAGGAAAGCTGTTTGAGGCTGTGCTCCAGTTCAGACAAGTAAGATGTGGTTGCATCATCCTTGTAGTGTCAGGCCAGCATCCTGATGTTGCAGCAAGGCTAACAGCCAAGACAGTTGAGGAATAAAGTGCTTTGAGACTAGAGGAGGAACGTGAGCAGTATCCATATTGGTCTGAGGTGCTACTGGATAACCTCCACAGGCACTGTGCACTGTGTCCTGCACGTTCATACTTCAACAACAGATGCAGAGTCCTTTGTCCTCGGTGGTGTGCCCACAGATGCCTGACTAGTTCCTGCAGCATTGTTTATTGAGTGCCCTAGAAAAGGCACCAGTCCTGTGAAAAATAAATAAGCAGTACTCAGTTGTACATATCTTGACAGAAGAGGGCTGTTTTAAATTTGCATGCGTAATCTTTGTTTAAAGTTTCTTGTTAAATTTCAAGTTTCTTAGCTTTTGAGTGCTTGATGTAATGCTTTTAATAACCTTCTGGTAGACCTTTTCTAATTTTTTTTTTTTTGAAAAAACCCCACCAAAGCCAAAGAGAGAACATGAGACAAGCCATTACCTGGGTTCTAAATGAGCAAGGTCACTGGCAGAACCTCGGCCTTTGCATCCGTGGTGAGAACAGCTTTAGCATTTCAACTGCACCTGGAAGAAACCACAGATTAGGTAAATGTGAGAAGAAGATGAGGTTTGGCCTGCATTAGTGGGTTTCCCATGCTGACTCATGGCCTGGGAAACCTGGAGGGAGGCAGAATTTTTCTTGTGATAGACTCCTGAGAAAAACTGTAGTTTTGATAAATTATAAACTCTCCTTCCCTGGATTTTCATCAGCATATTAATAACATGGAGCAAGCTAAAATAGATACTTAAATATACCTGTATTTCTGCTATGCTTGTTTATGATTTCCTAATAGAATATTTTATACAACTACCATAACTTGTAAACTATTTTCTGATCTTGCTCTGAGCCACATATCACAGAAGCCCAGGAAGATTCAAGGACACAGATCTGATAAAGAACAAAAAATTTTTGAGTAGAGAAGCAACTTTTCTTCTCTGTTCCCACATCTATCTTAAAGGGTTTTATGATTTCAGTGCTAGTGAAGCAAAGGAAGGATATTCCTTGAGTAGGTTGTGTTGCACAATGTAGGCAGGTTACGTGCAACACATGCTAAGGACAAACGTTGTCCTTAGCAAACATTGGTCAATGCTGCTTTCTTAGCTGGTTCAAGAAATACAGACGCTGGAGTTGAATTTCAGTTGATGAAAGTGGCTGTGTGTTCCTTCCAGTAAATCTGTTTGTTAGCCTTTCCTTTGTACATTTAGCTTCCTAAAAGTTAGTTCTTTTCCTCCGTAGTGTTAGTCACACCTCAGATAACTTAAAAAATTCTTTCCTTATTTTCTGTTTGTATTTACATGCCCCCAACCCCATCCATATTTTCTGTTTACTTTAATATTTGTGCTGTTCTGCTGTTGTTTCCACCCTGTCTTGTCCTGTGTTTTCTGCATTTCATTTTCTTTTCCAAATCAGCACCAGACTGCCCCCAGCAGCTCCCTTCTGTCTGGAAATATCAGGAAGAGCACAGAGCATGTAAGACCTGGTGTCTCCCCTTCTCAGAGGACAGCTGAGGCTAATTTTGCTAAGCATTAAAAACAGGAAGCAAATAATTCAGCAAGATATGGACACCTGGGATGGCAAACTTCAACATGGGGGTTTTGTTTTTGTTGTTTTTAAAATTGTAAGCAGCATTTTAGAGCAGAAAGTCCTCATTTTACCTGGAGACGCTGTGATCAGTGCACATAAATGCTGCTGTCATCTTGCTCCATTGACTTAAGTTATGTATGAAAGATCCAAGTGGTCACTAGATGTCTCTGATACGTCACTCAGTGCAGCTCAGCTGAAAAACACAGAAAGAAATCAAGTTTCGTCTTTATAGCAAATAGAAAGCAAGACAGTATCTCATCTCTTCAATAGTTGTTGATGGTAAAATAGAATTCTACTGGGAAAGAAACCAAAACCTCATGGTTATGAACCAGATGAAACTATTATTCCATATATTTTGTTGTTGTCCTCCTTTATCTGCAGAAGGATAAATTCACTCAAGTCTTTACTACCATAATTACCACTGCCACAGGCTCCTCAAGGGTTAAAGTTCCCTTGCCTTCCAGGACTGTTCACCTCCTGAGCAAAAGGGCAGAGATGACTGAAAGTTTCATTCCAGGTTTCACCTGGCATCACACCTGGATTATCACCCTTGAGCCAAATTCTGCCAAACCTGTGTTTCCTAACAGGCACTTCAAATAAAATCCAAGTCCCCTTATCATTTTTTAAGGTGCTACTATAATTTCCAGGTATCCTGTACCTATTGTGCTTTAAAATCAGGTATGTTTGTATAACTGAAGGTTAATATGATTTTATAACAATGTGTTTCAACTTCTGGTAATCACTTATCACTTGCAATCAGATACTCTGAGATCCAGACAAATATGTCTCTTGTACTATTACACAATACTCCCAAGAACATTGTTTTCCTCTGGTTCATAGGCATGGTAATAAGGCCATTAGTCTTTCTGCCACTTCTCAGAGTGGTTTCAAAACCAGCTAACAAATTTCCTGATGGCAAATACTTCTTCTCCTACTGGCACTTATTGTTCTTCTGAAGAAAAGCTGCAAATAAATGGAAAACACAGATGAAACTTTACCCTTTCTTGTGATTGTGGCACTACCAGGATATTGCAGCAGCAAGCACTGGTGTTTTTCCACCACATAAGTTCTTTTTTTTCTGGAAAAGAACAGAACAGCAGCGCAATTATTCTTTAAACTTGGCCTAAAAAAAACTGCAAGAGGCACAGCCCACAATTTATACAAGATAAAGTAGCTCTGCCAGCCTGTGTCACAATCCTGTCAGTTATGTTCACATAAGGCTGAATATGAACTCAATTTTCTCAAGAACCATGGGGCTTGCTTGTTTTTGAGGGTTTTTTTAATCAAATTTCTAAAAAAATCAGAAAGTCACAGAAAAATTCTCATTTGCTGTAATTGAAGGTTAATTTCTTCACATATGGTAGGGATTGATGGGAGCTGGTGTGAGCTTTTTAAGTGCTCAAAATTGCTAATAGTATTCCTAAGCTAAAACAACTAAATAAATTATACCATTATAAAAGAAGATATAACTCTGGACCAGAGAGAATTCTCTCTGAAATAAATATCCATAATTTTTATGGCCATGGCCTCACGGTTAAATATACTGTAATAACAATTGTATTCAATTCATCTTATGTGAGACACAATCCATTTGCTTCAAAAGGGGCTGAATTTTTGCCATCCTTTTACTTATACTAAGATATTAATTCTTAAAATTGGCCTCTATAGCCAATGAGTAACTTATTTTCTGATTTAAACATCTTACTTTTACTTTGCATTTGTGTAGCAAATTATTATAAACTAAGAAAAAAAGACTAACCTGGATTTTTCCTGGTCTGGTCATTATAAATCAGGGATTATTGTTGCTCTTTGCACTTCTAAAAAAGATTTTATCAAAATTATATATACTACCATAAAAGAACACAGAAACAATTTATTCTGTTTCTTCTTGTGCCCAACCTCTCCATCCATTAAAAAAAATCTATTAATATGTAAATGGAAGATTCAGATCTTTCACAAAAAATAGACCAAAATTCTGGTGTTTTAAACAGCATTTTAGGGTATAAATTGATAGGGTTATACACAAACACAAAAAAATCTATCTAAAAGAAAAAAATAACCATTTCTGGGTAATTTTCCTCTGTGGAACTGCAAAGAATAAGCAACATTCTACTGAGTATCTACCTACACGAGGATTTTAGTTGCCATGTATGAAACCCACGAGATATAAACACATTCCAGGCTTGTCTGTAGACTATTGCTTTTATTAGCGAATTTTATTTCTTCCACATGTGGTGGTTGACACTGGAATTTTTTTTTTTCTCTGAAGTTCATGAAAGTTAGGAGATAAAAGTCCATGCAAAAGAACGTGGACATCATTTTTTATGAAGAAGGCAGGGAACTGGCAGAAGTCCCTTTGATATCTTCAGTTTTATGTATGAGGTGTAGTCAAGACTTTGGGCACAGAACAAGGAAGTGCTTCAGAGTGGTAGAAGGGGAAGGCCAGAGTGCAGCAGAAGAGTTGAGAACAATGTTATATGGGGATATTTTACAAAAATAACTGAGCTGTTTCATTTAATTACCCGAAATGCTACAGATCAAGTGTGAACCATAAAGGGGGAACTGCTGCCTAGCAGTTCATAAAGAAAAACACCACATCTGAGGTGTTTTTATTTTTTAGCAGCATATATGTTCTTGATTTGTTTTTTTTTCCTTTTCTCAGTACTAATGGCTAAAATGGAAAGAAATTGGAATCTCAGAGCTAGCCTAGATGCTTTTCTTATTGATGTTATAAATACTAGCTTTTGACTGAAGAAAAAAATAAATCTTTTTTTTCTTACCTGGATAAAAAACCCCCAAGTGTTTAGAAGTCTAAATCTGTTCAGATATAGATGATATATTGTGTTAGGCCATTTTTAAGATTTTACACATTAAGGATTTTAACAAGAGATTTCTCTAGTCAGCTTGAAAACACCAATGTGGTAGAAATAAAGTACTCATTAAGCAAAGGAATAGAATACTCCACAACTAGTTGGAGATCTATGTAAATGAATATGCTTATTTGGTTCTGATAGTAAAAGATCATGTTGGTAGTGTTCTTTTTTCCTTGGGTGGGGGTCCCTTTCTCTAACATGATGCCTTTTTGTGACAGGTAATCACCTTGCTTTAACAAAGAATCTGCATGAGTAAAAGACTCAAAAATTGCTAGCAACATTTACTTACTTAAATACTAATAAATAAAAATTAAGTGGTAGTTTTAAGTAGACTTTCTGCTCTTTCCAGAAGCTTGAGTGCAGCTGGTCAGAGCTAAGCCCAGGAAAATTAAAAGGTATTAATTTAGCCTTCCTTTTTCTCAGTGTACCCTGAGAGTCAGAATTTTCATCATGGCATAATCTATTTCCTTCCCATTTGAAACTTTTGGCTAAAATGGTATCATGCTCATAAGTCTCAAAGCAAGCTACTTTGTAAGGCATGTTCACACTTTGAAATCTATCTAACATGGTACTGGGTGTACTTTTTCAGCTTCCTTGGGTCTTCCTGCACAGAGGCCAAATGTGGAGAAGGAGCAGGATATGAAGTGTTTATAAATGTATTTTTAACTCTACTCCCCTCAGGTAGTATGAAAATGATAATGGGTTGCCCCATGACCCCTCATGGCAAGGTATGTATGTAAGAATTTGCTACTTGTGGTACTCTACTGAGCTGCCCCTGCTCACCAGCTACCCAAGCTGAGCAAGCAGTGAAAACATTTTGTAAAAGATAAATATTTTGTAAAAGATAGTTTTCTGAGGGAATGTGCTGCTTTAGCAACAAAATGCAATCTTTAGCATTTTATACACATATCTTTGTCTACTTGGATCTAATGCAATATTTAGCTTAGTGTTTTATAGAGAGTAGCTTCTAAACTAAGATAATTAATTGTAACTGGTACTGTTAACATTTTCATAAAGCATAAATTAAATGTGGATGCTGAATGAGCCAGTGTGTGCTTAAATATGATGCAAGCTCTATAATTGAAAGTGAGGTACAAAAAAACCTGAGACCTTAATTGCTCCAGTGAAGTCAACTCTGGGCATCTCTTTTAAGAGAAACTATTAAGTACTTGGAAACTCTTCCACTATGAAGCTATGGGCAATTTTAACTTCAGATTTCTCCAATATCCCAGGTCAGACCTTGCAATTTTCCTCTAATCTTCACAAAGGCAAAGAGACAATCTAATGAAAAATGAATTCTGAGGTATTCCCAACCCTCCAAAAGAGAGAAACACATCAGATTAAGAACATTTTAATTATGTTAATCACCTACCACATTTAGCATTTTCTTAAGGACAAAAAATTACTTAAATGTGATTCATTTTAGATTTTAAGATACAGAAAATTTTCAGAAATTTTATAAACCTAAGATACAGCATATTTCATTGTCTCCACACTCTGAAGTGGCTGAAAGGTCATTCTTTAAAATTCACAGATTGTGAGACGATACAGGTTGCACTTTTTGTCATTCCAGCTCCCATCCTTGTACATCTCTACACATTTTTCTTTCCCTTTGCCATTAGGCTCATATTGGTGCCACTTGGTATAACTCAGGGGCATGCCAGTTATATATGTAAACTGGCCTGAAGTCTCACACTCTTTAATGCCCAAGTAAGCATATTGCTTATACTGTTTCACAATGTCCATAATAGCTTTATTCTCCTCCTCATTCATGGGAGTTGCAAGAGTTCCTCCAGCCTCTTCACAGGATCGTAGTGCAGATGCAAAATCGGCTTTCTTTCCATTGGTAGCAAACACTTTCTCTCCTACTTCTCTTATTTTCCCATTCAAAGCAAGTGCTGAAACATGAAAAGAAAAAACCTACTTAGCTTTTTAAATTTTCTATGGCCTATTGAAAAAAAAGCAAAAAAAAAATCAAGAGATGAAGAGAAAATTAAAAGTGGTAAGAGGAAGAGTAGGCAAAAGTGAGAGTAAAGGATTAAGAGAAAAAAAGATCTTAAATTTTACCCATCCACTAGTTTTTCCCTAAGTATATTGTTATGCTCCTTGTGACCATCTGTCCTTGTCTCCAAGACAAGGATGCCCCACTCACATTTGCTACATATTCTATGAGCCCCATTGTATTGTGTGTGCTTTCTAAAGAGGATCATTTTGCTTCAAATTTGAGCAAGCGAAATAGAGAAGTGATAATTTTTTTGTGAATTCTTTCTCAATAAGAAACAATTTACCACTCTCAACAATCTGGTTGCTGACAGATAAAAATATGGGGTACAAAACTGAGGAGTTCCCAGGAATCTGTGCGGAAAGTGCAACATCAGTTGGAATATTTTTTTCAAATAAATCGAATTTTAATAAATGTGTGTTACTGTTGGTAAAAGAAATCTGCTACTCCAGGGAAAAAGGGTCTTGATCTCCTGCGCTTTGGATGAGAAAATGGAATTTTGGGACTCAGTACCATTTTCAAATGAAATTTCTTTCCTACAAGTCATGAGTCTATAATTAACTTTGCCTATTGTGCTTAGAACTGTTCGTGAGCTGAAAAAGTAACAAGGGGAAGAATTACCGGCTTCAAGTTGGAAAAGTCGGTGTTCCAAATTTACTAAAAGATTGTGGCATCCAGTGTCCAGAGAACCAGGTAGACCTATACGGATAAAAATAAAAGTTATACAATCAAGCAAAACTAGGTTTTGCTGATAGGAACAATTCCCTTGATAAAACTAATACCTTTCCAGAACTAGCATGTAACAGTACTTTTTTTACACCATCAAGTTTAAAATAAACATTTTCCCAGTAATATTTTCATGTTGTTGTTAATCTATATTAAAGCAAACTAACAAAAACCTCCAACCCTCTAAATGTTACTAATTCCCCTCTGCACAGAAGCAACAGAATTTTTCGAGGTTGAAGAATTTTGTTTGAATCTATGAAACTGGCTTTGCAAAACCAAATGTGTTTCATTCTATTAAATAGTGGTGAACAAGCACAAGGGAGATTTTGGGGAGGGAACAGTTCCTATGACACCATACCATTTTCTTTTAATGTGCAGGATGGATGCTGTGTTTTTATGGTGGGATCTTATTTTTATGAAAGCATAAACACTAGTAGATGAAAGTTTCTGCATGGATAGTGTGAAATAGAGTCCATCCAGCAGTGCTTGCTAAAGGGGTACTTTAGCAGTACTGTAAAGCACTGTAAAGGTAGATTCCTTTTTCATACCCATTTCCATGGGTAATAAAGGTCCTACATGTAGAATAAAGTCACAAATGTGCTCCCACGATCATGTTCCAATTATTCACGACTGAAACAAACAGCCAAGTAGAACCACAAAATATTGCTGCATCTCCAAGTTGCAATTTTGCAACACTTACTGTACTTCACAATCCATTAAAAAAAACCCCATATTTGACCTAATAGAGAGAGTTTATGAATAATTTTGATAGTGCTTTAGCCTTGTCAACAGACTTGGAGAATGCATTTCTACGTAGAAGGAAAATTACACACTGCAAAGTGTGTTCCTTACAAGTCTACTTTTGCACATACTATCTTTGAACACTAGAGAAATATGCCAGAATCCTTTTAATTACACTTTTGAATATTGGATAACATTGCCTTTATACTTAAAAAAAAAGAAAAAAAAGATAACTTCTCCTGTGAAAGAAGCAATTCCCTTTGGAAAGTCAATGGAAAAAGCACTGTAAAGACATATTTATATATATAATATTTATATCAAAGTATTTATAACCTGTTCACTTCCCCTCTTCTCCCAGATGAGAGCAGAGGCCTGTCTTTTGGGAGAAAAAAAAATTAAACTGCCTGTTTCTCCATTCAGTTTTCCTTCCTCTGCTTAACACAGCTGCTTCCTTGAGAGCACGTGTCCTTCTGTGTCATGCTGCCTTCATGACAAGGATCTGGTGCAAAAAAGGGAAGTTTACGTACCCGGTACATGTGGCAGTCCTTTCAGAACATCTTTTCCAGGGATATCAGGTAGCCCAGAAATTTCTGGAAATTTACTCAATGCGTGGCAAGTCACTATCAAAGCAGCTACTGCTGTGAGTATGTAGGATGAGTAAGACAACATGATTGCTCAGGCCAGCTGTAAGAAAACCCACACATTTGTCAGGCAGTGATTTTGTAAGAAATCGCTGGCATTGGCTTATATAATTGAAAATTCTGGAAATTTACATTATTTCCTTGTTTAAATACAGTCTATAGTTTAGGTGTAAGAGATTCCCCAGATTTATTTTCTATCATTGTGTAGCTTATACACGAAACTCTTTTTAGTCTGATTCGGCTTGACACGCTCATTACAGAATGATAGTCACACATTTGGAAGCAGTGAAGATAAATTATCCCCTTTGCTATCACTGACTATTTGTTGGATTAATCCTCGAGAAATGATGGGCTTGGATGTAACTGATCACACTTAAGCCATTAGTTGGCCGTTAAGGACTATAATCACTCAATGATTTTATGATACCAACCTGAAAGGCACAATCTGTTACAGTGGTTATTGCAATGTTTTGGAGCTAGTTAGCAATCTCTTTAACCACAGTACTATTTAAGCACATTTGTTTGACATAAACAGACTGATAGTGTTTTACACATGGGCAAAATTTTATAGCTCAATTGACATTCCTATCTTGTTTTGAACAAAATTCCACAAGCTTGAAAATGTCAGAGTTATTCTTGTGGAAAATGCATTTTTGCTGGTTGGCAATAGGCCTATTCATCTTATTTTATCCTTTCAGATATAACATTAATCTCAGTGCTGAGATATCATGACTAAAAAGCACTCAATTTATATACATCATGGTTTACAAAATAGCAAGCGGGTATTCTGTGCAGTTATGAAACCTGAATTAAGGACTGTAAGTTACTGTGGCATGGAGATACCCAGTTATTGACATCATTCAGTTAAAATAGTAAGAGATGTAAAGCAAGGTTCAAGAGACCAGAATTGGTATCCATTTCTAATAGGTGATCCTGTTGGGTTGATTCTCATACAAAATATGTAACTTAATACCTATATTTCACTTTTCTACTGGCATGAATTAGACAGGATTCTGTACTGCTCTCTCTCAAAAATTTCCATCCTTAAAAAGAAAATCAGAATTGACAATCATAATATGTTGTAAATCCAGCGACACTCAAAATTGAAAATAAAACTTTGATTGGCTTGAGTGCTGCAAGATTTTAAAATCTGGGTTCATCAGTAATAACAAGATATTTGTTTCAAAGTATATATGCCAAGCAGAATCAATATATCAGTTTATTACCATTTGTCAAATGGGCTGAACTTTTTGAAAAGAGAAGTATTGTTTATATCTTCCAGATTGATTCTGTCATAGAAGAGTTTTGCGATTATTCTTAATCTGCATCAACGCTAACTTGTTTTTCTAGGGGAATGTCTTATCAAAGTCAATTCAGTAGGACATACCCTTGAACATAAGAATATTCAATTATGTCACAAATTTGTAGCATATAGTATCTGTTTAATTAATAGCAGTATCTATTCCTCATAGTCAAGAATTTCCACTTTAAAGAGTGGGAACACACGAGCAGTATTAAAAGTGCTGTTGAGTTTTGTCCATTGAATCTGAAGTGTCTTGAGCTGTTTACCCTTTACTATACTGAAGGCTAGCAGACACCTCTGAAAATGCTGGCCAATGACTTAGAGCAGATTATTAAACCTACCTTAGGTGGCTAGGAATACTTACATCCCTGAGATAAGCAAATGCAATTACAACATGTACCCTTTGCCTGATGATCATCATTCAGGGAATTACATTTGAATGGACTACTGCATCCAGCTCATAATTGGATTATGATGCAGAGTCAAAGTCTTGATCAATTATAAAGCAAAATGGAAAAAAAAACAGCTCTTCAGTTTTAATCCACTTTTAATGACCTTCATCAGTCATTACTATCTAGTGGCCTTCAGGCATGTCCTCATCTACTAAAATTGCTAGTATAAGCAAAGTAAAAAATGACTAATAAAGGAAAATTTAATTTTAAAATGTAAGTATGAACACAGAAATAAAAAGAAATGGGTTTGCCTTCTAGCTGAAATTCCTTGTGATTTATGAAGAGGAAATTCAACTTACCCTTCTGCTTCAAAGTGAAATGAAAGTGCAGTTCACACAAGTCCCCTTTATATGGTGTCACGTTTGTTGAATGACACCACTGAAGTGGAGACTGGAGGCTGAGGGCATAAGTGAGCTCTTTTAGTTTTGCTCACATATATGTGATGCAAATACTGAGATCAGCTTTAAGGTTTGAGCAATTTCTTATTCTTTTATAACAATAGAAAGCCAAAGTTGTAGAAAATACCATCTAGAACTAACAGATAACTCCAGATTTGTAGACACAAACAAAGTGTATAAAAACATACAGTAACTTTCCATGATTCCAGGTCATATTGTAAAAATTGTTTCTTGTTTTACAAAAGCAAAAATGTCATATGACTACCAGTGGTTTTTGTGAAAGGAAAGGTACTCCTGTGAATTAAGGAAGCATGATACCTCCCTGATAGTCTGACCTGGAAGTCAGAATTCTAAACTTTGCTTCCCATCTCTGTGTATGATGTACTTGCCTTACCTTAATATAATTTTCTAGCTGTGTGTTATGCTCAATGTTTCCATGACCTTTTGGTCTCTCTTGCATGCAGAGTACCATTGATCCCTTCTTGGCCAGAGACGGATCTTGGAAAAACCTGTATATGTGCACAAAATTCTCAAACGGGCAACATTTTCAAGAAAAAAAGAAACCAGAGTTTTTGTTCCTCTGGTTTCCCAGGAATAAATATTGTGATCTTGTGAGTAACTTCCTTTTGGTTTTGATGTCTTCTATTGTAGGATGTTTGATCCTAGATGAAGTTTGTTTCATAAACCTCAGCAAGCCAACACATCAGTCCCTCACCCTGTAAAGCAGAAATACCTCTGCTTTACAGCTTTTTTCTGTTTTGTCAATTTATACTGTGGTCCGTTAAGGATAGGATGTTCTCTACTTATTATTTGTATTTTACTAGAACTATTAAGGTTTCATCATGATCCCTAAGTGTAGTGTCTTTCCACCCAGCAGTAGTGACAGCTGCAAGCTAACATCTTTAGGCTCCGTGTTCAGCAATCAAAAAGATGTTTAACATCAACTAGCTGACCTAGCTAAGAGAAGATTCCAAAGGACGAGATATGTGAGGGATCCCCTTTAGAAGTAGCTTAGTTACTTAAATCCCCTTCCATTCACAACTGTAAACCTCACCTTGCAGTTAAAAGGACATTACTCAGCATGGTTTGTCCTCCCCCTCAAAAAACCCCACAAATAGCAAACTGAGGACAAACTGAGTGTCCTTTTTAACAAATTATCAATTAATATTCACAAACTTATGTTATAAACAATCTATCTTTGAGTCCTTCCTCCACCTGATATGCAGCAAAGCTTTGAATGCAGGTTAGTCATTTTACAAAACCTCTCATCCCATCAGTGGAAACTATTTTCCTCTGTAGTCCAGAAAAGGTAGATGATGGTATTGAGTGTATAAGACATGGATTAGACAGTACCCAACACATAAAATACTTTTTTTTTTTTTCTTCTGAATCCCATTGCAGCTTGGGAATAGCACAGACACCAGGCAACTCAGCACCATTGAGACACAGGTAATTCTGTTTCTGAAGGGTAGCAGACCTCTGGGGTACTTAGGAAAATTCTTTAGTTGCAGGATAAGATGAAACTTAATGGATCCAGATTTTGTGAAGTAATATTTTAAATTACTAGGTGCCCAAGTTCTTGCCCAAGAACTTTCTAACTTGCCAGAAAACAGTCTTATATAGATCCAGTTTCCAGGCAGCTCTACAACAGTTGTAAGGGTTAATTTTTCTGTTGTATCACTGCACCCATATATCCTTCCCATGTAGATAGATGCAACTTTAATACATGAACATGATATAAATCTCTGCAGATTTGTACTGTTTCTTCCACCTAACACAGTTTATAGTTATAAAAAATTAAATAAAGAACTGAAAACATTAAATAGGGAAATCAGTTAAGCCCTACCAGCTATTATCTCTTTCCATTTGGGATAGTGTGGCAGGAGCAAAACATGGCTTATAATGTAGGCAAACCTTATAAATTATTATCTTTTACCAAAACTTTCAGGGAAACATACATTTGATAACAGTTGTTCTCCCATGAGTCAGACTATACTTACACAATGGATGCTGATAAGAAATCTAAACCATAATCCAACATGAGAGATTACTTAGCCATTTCCTTAGTTATGTGGCAGAGAATGAGGGAAAACAAATATACTAAAATAAGGAAGAAAGAAAGTAAATATTTTTTTCTGCAACCTAGCACCCCTGTAGAATAGCTACAGAGTATTCTGAAATTTGCAGGTAAACCTGTGTGGTAGTGGCTGAAGGTCTTTAGCTGGGAAACACACACAAAACCCAGTCAGGGACCTTTATTGGTTTCAGGGGGCCTCAGGTACTGCATCCATTTTTCTATCATTAAGAAGAACGATAAAAATTTGAAATATGCTGTGTTGTTAATGCCAGTGAATTAAACCCAAACCCTGCAATGGCCTCCTCAACCATCAGCAAAGGAGAACTTGGGGAAAAAAGGAATCCGATTTTCAAAGACGGCATGTACCCAGAAAGACTGCTTCTTTATATAACAGCTGTGCATGCTACCCTCAAAAACTAACCACCAAGGGGGGGCAAAAACCAGAACTAATGTTTCATAGCCTTCACACCTCTCGTTTTCAGAATGCAAGGTAAACTCTTCATTTTGGTCACACTGTTTTGAAGTGAGCTGATTACTAACAGATTATGATAACTTATCATATCCTAAACAGCATGAAGTTTATGCCACACTCAAAGCACAGTGCTGTACAGCCTTGCTAGTTTATTTTAGCAATTTGTGAGACATTAATCTCAAATGTGTCACTCTGCTGCAAGTTCCTGATACCGGCTCTCTGAGCCTGTCCTTGGCACAACATCTGTGTGGCAAGCAGGTGTGGTCAATTCTCCACATTTACCTTGTTCAAAACAACAGTAGTTTTTAATATTTGTCTAGTATTTCCACTGTAATCTATTTGCTGTGCTGCTACAGAGCTTTAAATCATACAGAGTTAAGTGCCAATAGTTAGTTTTAAGAATTCTCATTGGCATCAGCTTAAGACCTCATGAGAAATATAGAGCACTAAACATATGTCACCTCTTAAATCATGAAACAATCCAATGGCTGAAGTCCTACCTCCTCTCCACCTGCAGTTTAACTTTACTGAGACAATATGGGAAGGTAAACAGTCCCCCCCTTTGGAAAACAAGAAGCACTGATAAAATAATTTGTATGCTAATTTATAGTGCACTGATGCAGGAATGGGATGAAAAAAATGTAGAGAATATGGTACCTTACTACACTGCTAATACTGAAAGACAAGAAATTCTGCTGTAGGTAAGTCTTAAAATTTATATTAGTGCTGTGTGTACCCTAGACTTGTGCCACTTTAATCTGAGGATAAGAATCTTACAGGAAGAATGTGATTGCTGATGAGGCACATTTATATTTATGAAAAAACATGGCATTAGTGACATGCTGTCAGCTTAATAGCACACTTATTTTGGGCAATGGATCTCAGGGCAGAGATTTCTGATGGAGGAAAATAAGGAATGCTGAATATAGATCATGAGGTTCCCAAAAAGAGGATAATGGAGATAGGGAACAGAGCTTGGAATAGTGGATTTTAAAGAGCTGGCTCCACTAGACTGTACTGAATAGCCCTCTTATAGCATCGCTATTGGAAAACACAGAAAGCATAAACTTAAAAAAAAAAATAAAAAAAAAACGCTTCAAGCAATTTATTCAATTTATTTCAATTTATTTTCCATTCCAGGAAAAGTGATTCAAACTATGCTATCAAGAAAAGAGATGACCAGGTTGTCAGAGCTTTTTAAAAAAAAAAGAGTGATTATCTCCAGCCAAAAAACTTACAACTTAAACCTATGTTAACAGAAGAACTGCTTGTCCTTTGCTTTTAGATTATATCAGATTCCTTCTTTATCATATGATTAAAACAATTGATTTAAACTACACATTCAGAGTCAGGGACATCAGCAAAGCAGCCTCTCGAGTTATATGAAGATGGTAGGCGAGTTGCTAGAAAAGTCATTTGGACTGAACCATTATTTCTAAGCATTGAAAAAAGAAAGAGAAAAAATCAACCAGAGCACACAAGCAAAGGCATCAAGCAGCTCTTGCTTTGACAATAATATAGCAGATTTTTAGACACAGGCTTCTTCCTTCAGACAGGACAAGTACTCTCCCCTTCTGCCTCCCCATGTTCTTTATCCAGCTTTAGTAAAAATTTAGCCATACTGTAATCAGCTTCTGTTTCATCCTTTTATAAACTCACAAATAATCTCATTCTAACTTCACAACATAATAACGATTTTCAGGTCTGTTTCTTAACTGTTTCACAGGTAAAGTTTAGAGAGATGGTATTCCTTTGATCATTGAGGAATCACACTTTTATTTCCAAAGCATCAATTCATTCTTGCATCCTGTAGGTCATATTATCAACTATATAATTCGTCCTTGCATCTTCCACACTGTGTAAGTAGCCCTCTATGGGAATACTACATAACAGTATGGAAAAACCCTAATCTTTATTCAACAACAAAACAAAATTACTCACTGCAATATCAATTAGGGGTGTCATGATAGAGTAAATATTGCCTTTTTTACTGGGAACAGTGGAAAGAGTCCTGCACTTCCAGAGATGGAAGTGTCCTGCCACACTGTGTTCCCACAGAGGTAAACTGGACCACATCCCTCCTATCAAAAGTCATAATAGGAAGCAATTTATGCTTGAACAGCCACTGGCCAACATTGCCTTGGAAACATATGCTTGCAATTCATATCTTGCCCTTATAAATAGCCATCTGGCCCCTGTTATCAATTTAAAATAATCTAGCCTCCAGATAGAAAAAAAAAATATCCTGCCAAGCTCTTATTATGTTGTTATTGCCGGGAAATGGCCTGTATAATGTCTCACTGATAAGTGTTAGAACATATATATCCAAAAGCTTTGTCAATATTTTATTTGCCATTGAAATTCAAAGTCCTTGGGAGAGACTTCTTGCTGAAAACACATGGCAGAAAACACGGAGTTGCAAATGAAAACAATAAACTCATCAAGCTGCTCTTATGGTCTGATGATCACAGTGAAATAAAGCTGCTTTGCATCTTACTGAAGGGACACCAACAGGTCATCAATTCCCAGGAAACAGCACCTGTCATGGTTGTTGTTGCTGTTATGAGCTGAAAATTAAGACAACGGGTATTATAGAATTCAATTTTGCACAGAATTTTTCAAGAGACTGAACACAAAATTCTGTATGTTTTAGCTGACTGTGTTGTTTGAAGCATATAGAACTTAATATACTGAATCTGCTTCTGTTGTAATGGCCCATTTTTAGATTCTAATCAGCGTAAAAGCATAGAGGAACACTTTATAGATCTCTGGTAGCAGAAAGCTCGTAAGGCACTTTGTTATTTCATTTTCCATGAAAAGCAGAGATCCTGAGCATCTGAGGGGTTGGTGAAGCCCAGCCCTGCATCCATCCAGCTCCTGCAATTCCATGTGGTGGTGTTGTGCTTCACCTCCAGAGGAGCAGATCTCAGTTCCCAGGGCTGGGGGATCAGGCAGCAGCAGCAAGTGGTGCTTCAGGGCTCCAGTCCTTGCCAGGCTGAGCAGCTGCACTGTGCTCTGCCTTTCAGCAAAAGCATCACACAGCAAAGACTTCTGCCTGTAAAACCCTGGCAGCTCCAAACTAGCCATGCTGAGCATTACTAGGAGGATAGCTGGAGTGCTGAGATGCCAGAGAAAGGCCATAGATTGAAGTGCCCAAAAAAGAAGGTTATCTCCTTACCTTTTATGGATACACCTGAGCTGACTTGAAACTATATAAGGCGCAGATATTGCAGAGACTTCAGCGCAGAAATGTTCTTGGAAGATTCCTGTAAGGGAAAATGAGAAAAGCTCTATTTAAACCCCCTGAAAGTTCATCTAGCAGATAAAAAACAAGGACCAGATGAAGACTCAGAGAAATAGAAATAAAGCAAATGGGAAAGAACAGAGTTCTACAAGCTCAGATTCCCTCTGGAGAGATGGGGACATCTTGAATATTGCTTGAGGCCAAAATGATTCAAACTGAAACTGCTTAGTAGGTTATGAAAACACAGCAGACTTAACTTGAGTGACAAATCAAAGAGAATATTTAATAACTCTGAGAAATGTAATAACCATGAATGTCAACTACTTAACTAATAAAATATCATTTTGTTATTCCATAGGGGTCACCCCTTACAGCCTTTATAGTAGCTTTATATGCAGTTTTGAAGATTTAATACTATTTTTCTTAATAAGACAAAAGAAACTCTACAAAATTTTTAATAATAATTTCAGCTACCTATTGAAATCTATTAATTATATTTGTTTATAAATTTGTTTTAGCATTCAATGCTCTGATTTGAGGAATGATTCTAAGAGGCTGGCAGCAATCTAGCCCCTGTGTGCTCAAGCAGCTCACTGCCTGGTTAAAGAGCAGTTATCCTATTCTTAGTGAGGCAATGTGAACTACAGCCTGGCCTAGACATTTCATATCCATTCTGCTAAGCATGACAAACACACGCACATCTGTACAATGCTTTAGGTGTTTCCCCACACTTTTTCCAGCTGAAACGCAAAAGCACAGGCAGCATCTTCAGTCCATTTTGTCTCAGATCCCAATGTATGTGTGTACCATGAAACTACACAGCCATTACCTCATTCCACTCTTATCTCCACAGCAGTGACTGTGAAAGATGTAGTAGATTGCTGGCCTGTCCATACTGTTCTGGAAATACAAACAGCAGCACAACCACGGGCACCCTTCCTGTTGGTTGTTTTTCATTTGTTCTGTCAGACATGAGCTTCCAAAAAAGTGCTGAACTAAAACAAGTCTTTTGGCATTGGTGTTGCTCACACACACCACAGGTACAGTGAAGTCTACTTAGAGGTCTCAACCAATATCATCAGATAAGTTTGCCAAATCACTGGAGCAGCTGTTGTCCTGATAATAATATTTTCCTTTTCCTGCCTTTCTTCCATCTCCTGAAACTCTGAGTGTTTTCTCATGTCTATCACCAGTCACATACTTGCCCATTCTCTGAATATTATTGTTCACATTCATGAGAAGTTGTAGCATTCCCTCTGTAAAAACAGTCTGTGATATCTTACAACCTCTAGTTTGTGAGGGAATGAACAGCAACAGAGACACATGCAAACATCTGGCAGACAGGAATATTCTTGTTTCTCAGGAGTGGGAATCTACATAAGAATACTTCTAATATGCTTATTTTTCAAGCAGTCTCATTCCTCGTCTGTCTTACCGGACCACCTCAGGGATTCAAGCTCAAAAATAAGTGTACCATAGTTTTTTCCTAACTGTGTCTTTTCAAATGTGTGTTCAACCCTGTGCAGAGCCCAGCCTGCTGGGTACACTGAGTGCCTCTTTCACAAGGTCAGGCCACTTCCATTGTTCCCATGGACAACCCTCTAAAGCTAAAGTGGGTTTTAAGTATTAACATATAAAATTTAATATTCAAGACCTGGAGAGCGACTGTGCTCCTGAATGTTTTGGTACCAGTGTTACCATGCCAATGGTACATTGCATTTCTCTAGCATCTATTTTTCCACACAAATAGAGCTCAACTGCCTAATAACTCCCATCTTTTACGTTCTTTTACCCTTCCAGAGGAACACATTGTGCCACTGTAACAGACATAAGTGATGTAAACTATTATACTTTTCAACAACTCAAGCAACTGGCCAGAATAAAGACCAAATTCAGAACTATTCTGAGAGTATTTGACAAAGACAAACTGCAGGACTGCAGTATTCAAAACCTCTGGAGAGCTCCCAGTAACTTGAGACAGAGTGTAATATACAATTTTCAGTGAAGTGATTTATAAGCACTGTAGACAACATGTGAAGCATTTCTTAAATAGCTTTTACAACTGCTATTGTGTGATGAGCTGGCGGCTTTTCTTGCCATGCAAAGTCCTGAAATACTGTTGCTGACACTTCATAGAATCATAGAATCAGCCAGGTTGGAAAGGACCTCTGAGATCATCAAGTCCAACCCTTCATTTTTTAATTTAATTTTAATCCAGGCCGGGTTTTCCCCCATTCCGTACTCCGGCCAAAATCCAATCCGGGTTTCCCCCTCCCCAAGCAGCCCTGGGACGCCCCGACAGAGGCACCGCAAGGTGTGAACCCCCCAAGGTGACACCAGAACAGTGTTTTATTTATTGTAACAAACACGGAGGATCATTTCCAAAAAAATCAGCCACAACCCTCGTAACTATACAAGCATGCGAGGAGTAAATGCAGTACAGCAGCGTGCATCAGGCACTGGTGTCCATCTCAGGCTGGTGTGAAGCAGCCACGTTACTGTATCAGTTTCAGAATGTAATGGGGATGCAGAAACAGGTGTGATGGCTTTTAAGAGAGCCCTAGAGAAGTGTTCTACAAAGGGTAGATCAGTGAAGCAGTACAGCACAAATTTATTGCTGTCATACCAGACTGCTACTCAGTCTACAGCTCAAAGATGTCGAGGGACATCTTTATATCCTAAATAAAACAAGACATCTTACCAAAGGGTAGCTGAAGATTAGAGATTTGGAAACTCCCTCCATGGGTTCCTATGACCTGGGATGTTTATTTATGTATCCCCCATCTATTAAAAATACAGTTTCTGCTTTAAGATAGACTTTAAAACATGAAATTAAAAAGAAATGAACATTTTTACTTTGCTTGTAGAACTTTTCCATTGAAAGGCTTTTTACCTTTTTTCATCATTAGACATGAAACTAGAAATGCACTTCAGTCATGAAAATGGAAGCTGAGATTCTCCAGGTGCTGGCAATTGCAGCTTTAAGCTAAATACCAGGAACTGGAAAATAACAGCATATAGAGAACAATCTGAGGCTTCAAGATAATACTTGCTTTACTAGCTTTTGTTGCACAAATAAAAGATCTACTTAGCAGATTTAGGAAGTACCAACACCCCCCAATTTTCAGTTTAGCTGCAGGTCTCTGGAATAAAAAGCTAAACAGGTTAAAATGTTTAAAAAATGCATCACTTCCGCATGGCTTTACCTTGCTTCTGTGAACACATATTGTTGCTTAGGCAGGGTGGAGAGGGCATAAGGTGATAGAGGAGTTAAAAGGTTGTGACCTATAGGCAACATAGTATTGATCACACCACTTCTGAGTGGGACACCCTTACAGAGGTGTCCCTGGATCCAGAAAGTGCAAGGTAGGAGATAATCAGGAAAGTAACCAACAGACACACTATGATGTTGCTTAAGAGATTTCAGGATTTCTACCTAAATTTGGTGAAATCCTGTGCCCATCTTAGCTAAAGCAGCTTGTAGTAGCTTAGCTTCTCTTGTAATAAACAAAAGTTTGAATCATAAACATGCTTGGGTGTAAGTCTTGGGGCAGGATGGAAAGTTGCACAGAGCCGTTTTTTGTTCATATCTGAAGCACAAGGCAAAGGTGGCCAAGAGTTGTAGCCCAGCAGTGCAGATGGGAGGAAGGGGAAGAGATTCTGTCCAGAGCTCTCCCAAGTGAGCACAGAAAGCCTGATGGGGGTGCAATGAAACACTGAAATTCAGTCTGCTGCACAACTGACCTAATTCAGGCCCATTTCCATGAAGCCCAGTGTAGCACGCTCAGACTCTCTGAAATCAGACACCTAAACGTGGGTTGATTTCTGCTCCCACATTCTGTATACTTAGTCCAGCTGCTTGAAGTTTTATCTGAATTTAAACACCTCAGAAAGAGGATGCCAACACTGTAGAGTCTTCCTCCCATTGCAAAGCTGCCAGAAGCCTCTTGAAGGATTAACACACAAGCTCAGCTCTGAGGGATGAACTGCGCCAATACTTAAAGACATAAACAAGCCAGAGCACACAGAAAACCAGGAAAAAGCTCTCACAACTGTCTACCCTGAAGCACTGATCTAAACAGCTCAAGTTACTGATGTCTGAAACTTCACTGGGGTCACAGGGCATAAAAAGAGATGTTAGCTGCAGGTGCCTCAGGATAAACTCACTCCCCCAGAGACAACACGGAGTGTCCAGTCATGCTGCTAATGCTGAGAGGTTTGGCAGAGAGCTTAGAAGAGGTATGAGACTGTACCTAGGTTTCCAGGTTCTCCTGCATTATTTATTCTCCTAACCATTATTGGCCAAACTACAATCCAGGAATTATTTTTCATTCCTTATGTCTCCAGGTGCTAAGCCTAGGAGTACAGCCATTCGGTAGCACTAAAGTCACAGACCCCTGCACAACACTTCTCTGCATGTTTCACACCAGTTTGATGCCTTCACAATAGGAAACAAGCCAGAGCAAAGAACATGCTTTTCCTCTGCTCTGAGCATAAGTTAACCACCCCTTCCCCACATTTATGTGTTAAAAGAAGAAAATGATGCAGTAAGTACAAGTTGCTACTGACTGAATAGCTTCCTGTTTGCACCTTGTACTTTCCACTGAAAATTGCCACTTGAAAAATTAAGAGAAGGAAAAGAGCTTTTCAAAGATTGTGTTTTTTCACATGTGACAGGATAGCTCTTCCTAAGCCTGTACTTAACCTGAAATTGTGTTTTAGCAAGATAAGCCCAGCAGCTGATTAACAAATGCTGCTTTCATCCTGAATTACTCGGAAGCTCTGCGGAGGTCATATTAGCACCAAATGAGATGGTTTTAATCAGGGGTATAACAGCAAACACAGATTAGTTTAAATTAATGCAAAATTAAGTGGTCATCAGGGATGCTGATTTAAGCCCCTTGGAAGATAATAGAACACAATTTCAAACTGCTTCTTTTTAGTACATACTGAAGAAAGGTGTCCCTGCAGAAAGAAAAGGTGTCCCTAATATATATGATGAGAAAGGTGAGAACTTAGGGCACATCTGATAGTACCTTGCTGAGTTTAAAAGTTTCAAGTAATAAGACTTAATAAAGGCTCATTTTCTATTTCCAGGTCTGGTTCCTGCCCTGTGGACTCTTGAACAGCCTGAGAAGTTCAGTCTGCTCCCACGCAATGGCCTTCAAAGCTCTCAGATTTCAGCACTGCTATTCTGCTCCTCTGAACACTGGTTCAGCACAGGACAGTTTACTGCAAAAGCCTGGATTAATACAGCTATAATTTCACTTGCACAGCTGCATTTCTAGGGCAACTCCACCAGAGATGGATTTTCACCAGTGTAATAAAGAGCAGAGTTTGGTTTTCTAGTAAGGAAGGGAAGCAGCTTCGTTTCTGCACGGGGGGTATAACAGCTGGAGAACCCTTTCCCTTCAGATGGTTTACACCAGGATAAACCTACAAGACAGAGGATACTGGAAACAGGAGAAGTGAAACCAGATTGAAGCCTAAAGGCTTGAGGGCTGGGTGTTTACTTCAAGAAGATTCAAGAAGTGCAGCTCAGATTTGCTATACATACCATCCTTGCTGGGGCCAAACACACCCTTAGCGTACACAGCCTGGTAAAAAAGTTAGTTGTCCGATAACTTTAAACTGCATGAAAGCGAGTATGCAATAGGAATGTTCTCCCATTCTGCTTTTGTGAACTTCCAATATTTTTAGCATAAGAATAGTTTTGCACTTACATGCAAGCAGTTTTGAGGTTTGTAGAGATCACATTTGAATGAAGCATAGTGCCCTCTGAACATAAACAATATTAACGTAAGATTACAAGAAGTTTCTTAAATTTTTATCAAGCATATTGGAGATTTGTCGGGCAAAATAATGTAAAAATTACTCTAAACTACGTATTAAACTCCTGAGACAGGCACTGATATGGGAATTAGGAATAGTATTTCTAAAAAAATTCAGTTGAAAGAAAACAACCATTCACATCTGCAAAACGCTGCTCCAGATCTTTTTCAAATCAGTAGTTTAGTCATTGCAACCTACTGGCTGGCACATTGGGGGCATAATTGCTCTTAGTCCAGCTCCAAATGAAATGGTCAGAAAACATTTCACAGTGTTTTTTGGATACAGTCTCAAAGTAAACATAATCATCACAAATAAATGCATTGGAGACTGAATTACCACTGATCCCTAAACCTGAAAGAACAACAGGACTGTACCTACTCTCTAGAATATCTCTTTTGTGTCCTAAATTAACCCAAATCTGTCTTTTAAATATTGCACCATATCCTGTATTTTCATATAATAAATATTGATTAAAAACTTCCAGGCAAAATTTAAAAAGTTCTGGTTTTCGTAGCTGCAGGACACCAATTAATGCAGAAAAGGAATGCAGTTCCCTTGAGAACTGCAAAGATGCAACGCCAGTAATGACAAGGAGAACATGATGCAGATCAGCAGTTAAATCATACTCCAGAAAATTCATATCCTTCACCCATTTCAGTAATTGCTTTTTCTCTGTACCTGTTTAACCTAGTGCAGAGAAATGTCAGTACTTACAAAGGTAGACAGGGAATTAGGCAATGAAAATAACAGCTATAAAACAGAGGAGCTGGGCATCAAATGCTCCTGTGCACAGACATGTTCCTTTGTTCCTGTGGGTCCACATAATTTGCCAGTGTAGACACAGCCCTTCTCTCTGTAGAGGCACTAAGCTTACATGTGTTAAAGTGGAAGAGGAATTGAAAAACTATTCTTCCATGGACAAAAACTTCAAGCCTTCACGTAAACATTTTTCTTAACTGTCAAACTTTTAGTATTGGGCTTTTTTGTCATGGTATTCACCTATTCCTTCCTGATACAGTTTGCGATTGCCTTTCTGTAGTTCACTTGAGGTGAAAGAAGTTCCCTTCAAGAAAACCTTAAAAGCCTGTGATATCACTTCTCTCATATTAAGGACCTATTCACATAAATAAGGCCTTTTGCTCTTTTTCTGCATGAGCTAAATTCCACTTGAAGTACATTACGCCAGCAGGCTTTTGTATTTAATTTATGACAAAAATGTTCTGCTTTCTCTTGCATTTAAATCTTGATTTATATCTCCGGTACTTCAATTGATGACTACAGATTGTCAAAAAGCATCATCTTGTTCTTCTCTGATTGTTTTACTGCACAAAACAACCTGGCTGGCCAGTTCACTGTTTTATTCCTCTTTGTAGTTACAGCACATTTCATTTTCCCATTGCATGGAAAGCACTGCACAAAACCAGCTGAAACTTCAAAAAAGAAATTATTCCTATGTCAGTAGTCACTTGTGTGCAGTGGACTTCTGTACCCAGATGACAAATACCACTGTAGGCTCTCAGTGATCATTATCAGTCAATTTTAGAACCAGAGTAAAAGTGCACTAGGAGCAAAGGCATCACTAAATACTGAAGTAACATAGGACTGTGTGCACTGTCTATTATTTCCATCAAAAAATAATATATCAGTAGCAACATGTGGAGAGTAATTTCTCCAAGTTTACAGCTCAGCTCAAAGATGGAATATAGACAAATTTTTCACTAGTTTCAAGATAACTAAAAACTGCCTCCTTCATGCTGCATTTATGAGAAACTCAGATATAACAACTAGCCTGCTGAGCATGCCATAACTTATTAACCTTATACCACTATGACAGACACAATTTATTACATATTGACTGAAAAAATGAAATCTGTACTTTAGTAGGAGATTCAAAACTGAACATCAAAGAGACAGCAATTGTAAATACACTCTTGTTCTCGGTATTCCAGGCTGCTTTTACAGGAACAAACTTTAATATCAACCACATAAGTGAGAAAAAAACTTTGGGTTTTCTTAGATTCATCATCTCAAGAATTCACAAGTAATTAACTCATGTGAATTTGAATAATTAATGTCAATCCATTTTTCCAAAGTCTTTTATTACCGCACGTTCTTCATTTTGTAGATTACTTAGTTCTCTGTCATTCCAGCTCCAGTAAGTTACAGTCCTTCCATTCAGATTCATGAACCTGCCTTCAGTCTGTTCATCAGATATCCCCATACAAGCCTGTTTTCAAGGTGTTATGGACTCTTGTACACCTGTGTTTTTAGCTTCATTCCTGAGACAGGCAAGTGCACTTACAGCTTTTGTACAAAGAGATATCCAGTTGAGACAAGTACAATTTTTAGCAATACTCTTGATGTTCTTTAAAATCAAAGCTAGAAACAGAAGTGAATACAAGTAATTGTATTATACCAAAAATTGATCATGCTCTAGTTATTTATCTGTTTCACAACTATATTTCAGAAGTAGCTGATACCAGCTATAAACAGATGCAAATAGTAGTCAGAATCCAATAGAAGTCTAACAAAATAGACAGCTGGGAATATCAGTGCAATGTTTAAAGCACAGGCACATGGAGAACAGTGGTTGATCCTGCAGGTCATGTAACATGCCCCGCCCTGTAAGCTGGCAAAGTAATCCTTAAAGTTTTTCAGGTCAGTTCAGGAAGGATGTATTCAGTGAGACGTGATTTAATTAATGACCATCACCCATGAGCAACGTGAGATAAAATTTGTTTCAACCTCCTCTTTTTCATCCCTTCTCCAGCACAAGCATGTCCATCATTTTACCAGGCCAAAAAGTAAACTTATCAATGATTGGACCTTACCTTTTTTTGTATCTATTTAATTCATCCTCCCAAACCTGTAGTTTTGTTTCCAAAGGGGTTACTTGTCTCCACAAGTTGGGAGTTAAGGCTGTTATTTAGTAATTATACTGAAATGACTGCACAACACCTGTTTCCGAGATGCTCAACTCCCCTGTAATCTGATGCCATGTCAGAGAGCTCTGTCATTTCTAGAGCAGAAATCACAGGCCGCCCTGCAGATTCCTTCATGGGAATTTGTCCAACTAGGAGAGCCTTATCCCTGACCAATGTGAACACTTGGATAGCCTTTGAATTCTCAGGGCTGCCAAAGTCATCTATTCAGGGGGAAAAACCCAGTTCCCAAAGGCAAAATACACATGTAAACATTTTTAAATGATCAAAAGTCAAAGGAAGAAACACACAAACAGGCAAAGAATGAGAGAAGAAAAAATGTTGTTTATAACATGAGACAGAGGGTTTGGTATTCCACTCACAGACAACAATAAGCAAGGGACTCATTAAAGATACTTTGTTCCCCCAGTTATGTTGGGCAACTTGTCTCCTGTGTAACAGATGGTTTATTTTTCTGCTCCTCACACTTCTGGAAATCACACCTTTCCTCAAATGATGTTATAGGAATACCAGACACTAATACAAATATTTTATTTTTTTGGAAAATACACTGAAAGGTTGAAAACCAGATTATAGAAACATGAGAAAATTATTTCTTACTTCCATATTCTCCTTTTTCTCCTTTCTTTCCTTGTGGTCCTAAAACTCCTGTTATTCCTGGAGGTCCCACTTTTCCAGGGAAACTCTCCAGGCCTCTCAATCCTTCTCCTAAATTTTAATTTAAAATAAAATTGTTTAAATATTTCCCAAGTTTTTCTTCCACTATATTTTCTTAGTGCTTAGAGAGAGCACCAAACACAGACTCCTTCCCCCTCTCCGTGCCCACCACTAGGAAAATAAAGCATCTCTAGAACACTGCATTACTCCTGTGGAAAGCTTCATTTACTAGGGAATGCACTACTTTGATGAAAAAGCCTTTAGTACACCTACTTATGGCACTGAAAATCCAATGAAGTAAATGCTGTCTCATGTTATTGCAGAGGTACACATGCTCTCAAACCAGAAAGCCAATATACTTCAGCTGTAATCCAATCACACATCACAGTATATGATCCGGAAAATGAGTTAAGTCTTATGATTAAGGACACTTCTCTCAAGCAGTTTGTTGAAAGACAGTGCTGCAGAGGGTGTACTGAGGGGTATGTGGACCAGGAAATGTCTATATAGAATATCAATACATGCCACAGAAATTTTATGCTATAGTTCATAGCAAGTGGTACTGATAATGATGAGAGTTTTCTTGGAGGTTGAAAGGCAAGTGTCTAATTCCAAGATGAGTGGTATACATACGATAATACAGAAAGAATAGGATAAGAAAATGTACAGTTCCACATGTCCTTACTAGGAGTTTGGACAGAAACTGATTTGGAAACTTGGCAGAGCATGTGACTTGGTCCTACCACATGACAGAAAGCACTTGCAGATCTATTTGCTGTTCACAGCAGTGCATGAAAAAAGTTGCCTCTGTTGTTGAGGCATAGAGAGTATGAAGCAATCAAGTTATGACCATCAGATTAGTAACCAACAAGCATGGTTTCTGATTTTGAGAGCTGGCCCCTGGAAAGAAAAAGCAGTAATAATTTAGTAGGGTATAATAGGAAGTGATTCAGAGTACAAATGGTACAATCAGATTAAATTCTCATTACTTTTCTGTTTTATAGGTTGCTGTGAAAATGTATAGTATTTTTTTTTATTTATTAAAAGCCAAGTGTCTAGAGTAGCATTATAAATGCAGAAAGCATTTTCAGCTTCCTGAAATTGTGCAAAGTCTAAAAAAGGCTAATGGGGCAGAAAAAAAGGAGATAAGTAAAAGGACAAAACGAAAGACTGAATGAGGCATGAAACAAGACTAAAGGGATGATAAGGAGTGTCAAAAGCACAATTTCGCTAAATGGTCATAGCTCTGTACCTGGTTCTCTCTTGGCACCTTTAGGACCATCTCTACCTGGTGAGCCACTGACTGCAGGAGCACTGCAATGAATTTCTGTCCAGGAATACATTTTCTCTTCAGGCTGAACTTGCTACCATCAGCAGCAAAAGCCAAAGGCATTGAAAGGCTGAAAAAGAATCGTTGCTAAGTCCACAGATCTGGAACAAATCAAGCAAAGTAATTTCATTAATTTCTCCATTTACATCATTTTAAAGGGGTGCCTGGGAAATACACTCTTGTCTTCAGGCAAAAGACCAAACAAGGGATAGTATCTAAACCATTTCATGTAGCCTCTGATTGTATCTGTATGTATAGAAACCTGAAAAGAAACAACCAAGCTTCTAAGAATCCGAAAATCTCAAGGTGTAATGAAAATAGCTAATATAGCAACAGTCATCAATCTTGCCATGCTGCAAATTAATTTCAATGTTTTGTTCATTGTATGTCTAAATTTAAAGCATTTATCTTCACGCCAAATAAGTCATACAGTGTTCCATTTTGGGATGAATCCTCATCTCTCCAGCTATTGTGTTTCTGTGTGGACTCTTCTTTTCACAGCTATCAGGGTTGCTGTATGTCTGAACTCAAAGTGATTAAGCTGCTTCTCTTGATAGCATCTCTACTACTAGCAAACACCCACAGCTTAAAGGACAAAAAGCTTACATATGTTTAAGTGGCAATGATCTCATTGCCTCCCCTATTTCTCCTTTCAGACCTTGTATATTAATAAGATACTTTCTCCTCAGTATCACACCTCAGAGTTGAAATCCTTTTGGATCCCAGATCTGCAATACTTTGCTGCCCTCTCTAAGCAGAATAGTAAGACTGTAACCATAAGGGAAGGCTCTGCATGATGTTCTGACAAGCTGAGTCACAGTAGTCGTCCTTGTTTCCAATATGAGGGTTTGAGACAATCACACCCCACGTATTCCATGTTTATCTGAAAAAAAACCCCAAAATGAAACTACCACAAATATGAGCTGATGAACTTTCACAGTAAATAGCCACATACTAAAGTCAAGTGGCCTCATTTTCTCACAGTTCTACCAGTCAAAATGAAAAAGAAACTTAGGGAAGCACCATTTGGTTGACAGATTCGGATAAGGAGAGAAAAATCAAATCCAGCATGAATTCTGCTACTCACCTCAATTATTTCTCTTCGTTTTAAGCTTCAGAAAAGACTTCCCACAGAAAGCAGCTTCCCCTGTCATGTTTCATCTGATAGAGTACAATAAAAAGTATAATCATTAGTGTATTACTGTGAGAACATCATTATTAGGATAAAAAGCAGAGTTTAAGAAGCACCATATTTCTATATACTTATTTGTGCTTCCTCCATTAACTTCCCATCAAAGTCTGGGGAAGTGGTACACACCAAAATAAAATAATGAAAGGTATTTAGCTAACTAATATAACAAAACTTAGATCTTGGTTATATTTCTTATCCATCTTCATGGACTCCAGCCAGTTCTTAACAGCTCTGTAAGGATTTCCTTCTGCTGACTTTCTATACTATGTAACTATCGAATATCAGGGAAGTTGACACTTCTGATGTCTCCCACGAAGGTAACAAGACAAAGCTCAAAATAACGGCACAACAAAAGAAAACTTGAAAACAAAACTTAAGCCCTCAGATAAATCCTCTCTGAGGATCGTGTGAGGTTCAGCCTCACACAAATCTCTGTTGGTTTTGCCTGCCAGGAGCTAAGATCTATTTACCTCCCAAGTTTTCCAGGGTGATCACCCAATTCTTTACTCTAGGAGAGCCAAAGTGCCTGTTTACCCTTTGACAAACTGGTGGCAGGGTTTCCTAGCAATTCAGTCAGTGACTAATGACAATTGGCACCAACAATGGCTTAGATAAAAAAGCAAAACGTTCCAAATTTCTCACAAAAATCGAATAAATCTTAAGGAACTGAAATAGAAAAAACAAGTTTTGCAATCCATATTTACATTTATTGAAGGGTAGATAATCCTACGTGGAGAATCACACTGTGTGGATGTAATGAGAGTCTTCAAGTCTCAAGACACACACAGTTGCAGATTTCTCAGCAGAGATCAGAATTAGGCTTTGAAAGATGACCTGAAACTTATATTTAGCAGGTAGCTAGTTCTGCAGGTCCTATTTAAAGATATAGGTCTCAGGTAATTCTTTTATTCCTCCACGAAAAGTGCTCTAGGACATTATTCACCCAATGGAGGTAACAGCAGAGAAGAGAACCTGGAAGAGGCACCATGAAGTTCTTTTTCCAGACCTAGTCTTGGAGGTGACAACTCTTGGTGATTAGCCCAAAAACTGAGAGCCTGGCAGCAGAGGACAGTCCTATTGGAGGTAAGTACTAGGGAAACTGCTCCTCAAAAGTGGTCTTACATTTATACACAGGCTACTCAGAGACAGAATGATGTTAAACTGTTAGTTACATCCTCCTAACAGTCTCCTTCTCAGCCTGCTGTGCCCAGGTGGAGCAGCCTACAAAAGTCCCTTCCAACCATCATGTCTGCACCTGAAAGGCTTGCATGACCTCACTACAGTCTAATTCTTGTTACAGCCAAAGAGATCTTTGCTTACCAACACCTTTACTTAACCATTACACAGCAATACTCTCACTGCACCACTGCCTTGCCTGGCAGCCAGAACAACAGAAGGCAGTAGGGAAAAAGTTAAACAGAAACTTGCTGAATTTTTACCATGAGGACAACCCTGCCAAAAGAAAAAGATAAATCACCAACATTTCTACCGAAGCTGTTACTTTGTGCTTTGTTTTAGGAAGAGGTTGCTGATTGGCTAATCTCAGTCTTGCACAATCCTGATGATTGCCTACCTCACTTTTACCACCCTTATCTAGAGGGGCTGCATATGACATTCTGGGAGTGAGCCCTTTGCTCTTTGCCTGGCCTTGGGCAGACATTGGCTGTGTTACAGTACAAACCAACGACTAAAAAATCAGCACAACTGCAGGCACTGAAAGTTTTGACTGTAAGGTTTTTTCCCCTTTATTCAGTCAATGGATAAATTTTTTAATAACCTAGGAGAGGGAAGGACATTTGAAGCTTAACTTCAGTGACTGCCTTTCCTGCAACAGAGCTTGCACTGTCCAGTTGACTACAATATTATTGTTTGGACATGGAAACTACAGTAGCAAGAACACAGTGTGCCAGGTAGCTCTGCAAAATTAATAACATAAAATTTAATGCTGAGGAAGAGATGTTTTAGCAATTTTGCTTGCAAAAAACTTCCTTACCCAGAAGAAGGTCTGTTAGACATCTCCAGTTGCAAAAATTAAAACTCTCCCTCCATGCAGCAGTGTCAAGATCCCATTTCTGGGGCTATTGTTCTCTGTTGTGGTGGCATCAGAGAGAAATGTAGGCTGTCAGGCTGCCTTGTATCTTTCTTGTTCAAAAGCTAGGATAAATTCAGGGTCTGTAAAAATAAAATGAACACATCAGTTCAGAGCAGTGCTACTTGTCAGGCATGATTTGATAAAAACATTGTAGAGCCAACATCATTAAAAAAGAAATTTGGAATTAGAGATTTTTTTAAAGTTATTGTTATTTTAAAGTAAGAAGCTGAAATTTCCACACTGACCTTTGCTATTTTGGCCGAGAAGCAAATGTGGGATCTATACACTGTCAAAAAATGGTATCCAGGGCTCAACTTGTAACCTTGTAACCCACAAAAATGTCTGGTTTCTTGTATGACTGTTCAACTTCCCTGAAGGCTTCTTGCCTGCAAAAGCAGAAGTATGAAGCACATAGGATTGTCAGCAATTTCTCCACCCCTAGGGTCTCATCAGGTCAGGACACCATCTTGCTGAAACATAATTTATCACACAGTAGAAATTTTACTAAACTCTGGCAAAGCCAGCATGTTTACATGAAGTTCCAAACCTATAGAACTATTGTAAATGTCTGTATTATGTGGCAAATAAAAATCATAAGGGCAGGTGTCTTAATATTCAGAAACGATTTTTTTTTTCCACTGGATTTGTAATTTCTTTTTCTATCTGTTTATGTTTATACAGCCTTCTCTTCCTCCAGAATTATTTGGTTCTCCTGATTCCAAGTTTGCATACAGAGTTCCTCACTATTTAGATCCTTCAATGTACCTTCTTTCTGCATTTGGGGGAGTGGTCTCACATCTGCATGGTCTTTGATAGATGGTGCAGCTCACTGCACATTTCCTTGGAGAAGCAAGCAGCTCAGCACAGGAGAACACTAGGCTTTTGAAGTTTCAAACTTGCCTTTGGAGCCATCAGTTTTGAGTATTCTTCACCAACAGCCATATCATATGGGAACAACAGAAGTGGGAACTATACCCAATTATCTTCATCACAACATAGCAGGATGACAGCTTCTAGACACTTGCAAGGGAATATATGGCTAAAGCAGTGGATAGAAATGCACAGCTAGCTCATTGATTCACTTTGATGTCAGACCATCAGAGTGCTTTTATCCCGAAACCAGGAGTTTACAAAGTGTTTCAAACTTTTCATTGAGACAATTAGAGTCAGGATTAAAGACTTTTGAAGAGCAAAACTCTAGGAATAACCTTGTTTCAGAAAAACCTCGGAGCAGGCATTATGGAGCACAATTCTTAATAGGTGATCATACAGTGAGTGTAATTAGAGCTCTTACAAAAATAAAAAGTGGAAGCTGTTCTGTGCAGGATCTTTTTCTTCTGAATCAGTACTGATTTATCCCTTTCCTGTGTATCTTACCATGCATCTGTACTTCTGCACAATAAGAAGGATGAAGTAGAGCTGAAGCTCTTTACCTGTTTCTTTCCACTTGTCAGTCTGCCAAAGAGACTGTGCAGATGAACAGTTGCTTTCTGTTTTGTTTTCTACCCTGAAATAGTCAACCCTCATTAGTGATAAAATCTTTAGGTGTCCCGTGTCCACTTTGTAAACTAAAATCAAGGTAAAAGTATCAGCTGCTTGTGAGAGAACAGGGAATTTATATAGTGGGACACGCTAGGAACAATGCCACAGTAATAGCAGTTTGCAAGGCTCAGGATAATCTTAAAAGAAACTGTAAGGGAGAGAGACAGTTCTGAGGCAGACCACACCAAAAACCCAAAAAAACGTGCTTAATTCAGAGGAAGTTCTGTTTGAGATTCAAAGTTCACAAGTCGTACAGGATCCCTCACTCGGGATACTGACTATTAAGAACCCATGTACTGAGCTTCTCCTCCTCTTTTGAAAATTTGCTGACTGACTTTCCCGTCATCCGAGGTAAAAGAGATCTAAGCTTTAAAAGCATGAGATTCTGAAAGAAGATAACATCAGAATGCTATTCTTACCATCCCTAGTCAGCTCTTCTGCTTTACTTACTTGGAAAAGTTTGACTATAAAGTCAAAAAAGTTCTCTCTTCACCTTCATAGAGATTTAAGGGATCCTACCTTATACATTTGTAATGTATTTGTGCATGGGCCATCCATCACTCAGTAGAAGTTTTTATCCAGCACCACTTTTCACTCAGCTTTCTGTTTGACTCCTGCAAAGAATGCATTGCTCAGTGCAACTGGAAAACTAAGCACAGTGTAAAATTGCTGCATATTTACACCTTTATATTTGAGAACAGCTACAGTCTTGTCCCAGTATTAGAATAACAAGGGAGCTGGAGAAACAGAGAATATCACAGGCTTTTGTCTGCTCCAATACACCTACATACAAAGATAAATTACAGTGCTTCATGATAAAAGCAAGGTTTACACCTTGATATTTACTCAACTGAATAAAAAAAAAATATACTGATGGTTACATTCGTGTATGATGCCAAATTTTTCAGCATTATACTGTTCTGTGCAAGAATTGGTTAAATCTTACCATCCAAAAGTAGCAAACCAAAAATAAATGCCAATGCTTAGAGAACATTTTCTATTATTGGGCTAACAGAGTCTATAGACTAATGGGGAATATCTGTCCTTCATTCAACTTGGAGGAACAGGAAATCTCTTGCTCTTTTTCTTTGCTTTTCTTTCATCTGCTGTAAATGAAACGTGAACAGAATGGGGTTATTTTCTCTTCAGATGTCTTCAAACACAGGCCAGTTTTTAATGGTTAAGGACTCATAAAACACCATGTCTGATTTCCAGCTTTTCACTTTAGCCACAACTGAGGATGCAGAATGTCAACTTTTGCCAAATTTGGATGAGCTGTTCACACTGACAACTGATCTGTCAAGTAGAGATTTGTCAAGGGTTTTCACCATGTTGCAACAAAAATTTAGGAAGCAAAGGCCTCTACTAGCATGCAACAGCTGATATTCACACGCAGCTGAAGTTTCAGGAGCTGTAAACAATTTGCTTCTCAACTTAGGGGCACATTGAGAAAGGTTTCGTGAAGATTGAGAAGAAAAGAATCCCATGTAGATGTATTAATACAACAGGGTAGAGTCTGTTCACACTGAATATCTTCTAATATGCACAGCAAAACTTGTGAAGCATGGTGTAGTCACTGAGATCACCTACCAAGGTTATGGGATCAGTAAAATCCCCACAGTTTTTCATGATTTTTCTTATGTTCTAGTAGGATTTTGCCTTTCTGTTTCTTAAAGTTAATGATTCTAGAAAAGATTCAAAATCATTAGTAGGGTCTTTAGGATCTGCATTTCCACAGCTGATCCAGAAATACTTAATACGGGAAATACCAGATGCTAACTAGGCAAATGAAAGCACAGCCAATAATAAAGTGGCCTGGAAGTGACCTCTGGTGGACAACAAGAATGGTGTTAAATTGCTTTGCTTTGTATTTTTCAAGAGAGTAGTTTATATATTTAACTACCTTACATCCATTCAGTTGAGTATTATCTAACATTATACAATAATCAAAAACACTTTCCACTTGAACTAAAAGAATTTAATGCCAAAAAAATTGGAAACTAAAACAGGAATGGTAAAGTTTTAAATCATCAATTTTAAAAGCACCTGTAACAAGGGGGGTTCTTTATTGTGTGTATACCATTAACATTATACCACCAACAAAGTGAAGGTAAGGCAATCTTTCAGGTGAACTGAAAGGTGAACTTACAAGCAGTTTCAAAGGGAACAGGGTGATCCTTTGAGGACATGTCAGTTGTTCCAAGAAACCATCAGTATTTCCCAGGTTGGGTGAGGTGTTGGAATCTGTTGCTTCCAGCACATGCAGTGGCTGATCACAGCCACTCTACTAAGTCATAAGACTTTATATATCTATTTTTTACAGTACAGATTATCCCCAAGGATCTTATCCTACTCCCAACTAAATATTTTTAAAGAGATTTGTAAGCTTGGGAATTCATTTTGATCTCATGGCTTGAAGAGGCTTCCAACGCAGGGTTTTGGGGCCTCTGTTTGCAGAGCGCATGTACAGTCTGACAAACCATAAACTTTGTGTAGATCCCTGTAGGACTGCAAATTCCCTTTTGATAATTGGACTTGCTTTCCCTTGCTACCGCTTCCTAATTTCCACATGGAGCTAAAACTCCAGTAGTTTCTCACATGGGTCTAACAATAGACGTGGGAGATAGTTTGCTGTACAGAAATAACACACTGAAATTGTTCCCAAGGAAAACCAGTATGTCTTGGCAACAGTTGTCCTGGCAACCAAGTCTCCTCACAGAGGATGATGGCCACTGATCTGTGGAAACTGATCCATGAGTCATTTTTTCGCAGAGACCCAAGTGGATAGGGGATAGAGTGGCAGAGACCCCACCATTTGGTTTCCCCCTATCACTTGCAGTGACAGGGAACTCTCACCAGTCAAAGAGGTTAACTGGAATTTTGCCTCGAACATAGATCCATGACATACTAATTATAAGGCATACTAATAGTCAGCATCTTTTCAGACAGCACTATTTTTTCTTTTTTTTTGTTTTTTTTTTTTAGCTAGTCATGTTAAGGACTGGCTAAACTCTCCACCAGGAAGGAAAGCTGCACTGGAAAAATCACAGCAGAATATAAGTCAGCACAGCCATGATAGTATTAAGCAGAGCACAGATAAAAGTGGCAGAGTGCATTTTTGTCTAAGTAGCTTTTCAGAAGACTGTTAAAGCTTTGAAGGTCTGCATAGCTTTTGATTTCATATCTTGTGTGCAGGGTGGCACAGGTGCTCATCGGGGTTAGCACTGCTCTGGAAAGGCTGTGCTGCACTTGTAACTGCTCAGCCCAGACCCGAGCCCAAACGAAGCCTGAGGCTTCAAGGAGCACAAATGGTGGTCCTCTGCCTCAGTGTGCCCATGTTCAGCTCTCTCTGACTGCCTGTTATGACTTGCTCTTTCTGCTGAAGTGGCCTTACTGCAAGTTACTATCATTTTGGGACAAAGCACATGCTCTATTAATTGTTGCTGCTCCTTCCACTCTAAGGCTCATGCCTGGCACTCATGAACTGACATGGACAGAACATGAAAGTAGAAATGCCTCCTTTCCAGCACTGTTTGCACACACACACACCCCAGGTGTAACAGCACAACAAACAAAGCATCACTTCCCAGCTAGGGCATTTCCCTCACATTCCCACCTCTGAGAGGCCCAAGCACAGTTTGCTTCAACCTCTTCTGGAAACATCTGAAGTCGTTTGCTTGGTCACAGCTACGGGGCTTTCATGCCGGGACAGGGCTGCAGGGACAGCAATTCTCTTCCCAGGGAGGATGAGAAGCCCCTTGGCCATAGAGCTGCTGGTGCCCACCCATCCTGCAGGTCTGTGCTGCCTGGAAATCCTGCCACCTGGACAAAGCAATGAAACAGAAAACAGCCATTTCATTTTCATGGGCTTCTTATCCCTGAGCAGTCCCTCTCAAAGGACACGTGTGACTGCAGTGCTCGGTCAACTGAATGACCAGCAAGAAGTTGAGTGGTGAGCAGAAACTTCAGCTATTGCAGTCTGAAATGGGTCAGTTAAAAGAAATGAGAAGTACCTGAGTCCATCCCAGCCCAAAAAAGCCAGCACTGAGGGTCAGCAAGGCTGCACCAGGATATCCCAGTCCAGAAACAGCAGCATTTCCAGCAGTTTCTCAGAAACTGATGTGAAAGAAACATTTCTGTTTCAGAAAACCTGACTTGCCAAAGAAATTATTTCCTCCTGAAATATTTCTCAGGGTTTATTCTACTGCTTTAATCTGAATTATGCCAATCTATGCATACGATGATTCTATTTAGTCATGAATATTTGGACACACACATTTTCATACAGGAGGAATGCAAAAGAGTTTATTAGAAGATACCACAACCATTGCATCAATTCAATATTTGCACAAGAAGCAGAGAAATGTTTTTCATCAGTTTACGCTTCTCTTTCCATTACCTGCACGGTAAACTCAAACACAATAAATGTTTCAGGAGGCTATTAGGCAAGTGGACTTCCAGAGATTTTCAAGGTAAGGAAAAAAAGCACCTCAACCAGTAAATCATACAGCTTGAAAATTGCATAGTAAACATTTGGAGACATGTAAAATCCCACTGCTAACCTAAACGAGTAAACAACTTGAAAAAATGAGCTCAGATATAAAAATTATGAGCTGACTACAAATCAACTGCAAACACATTAAAGGCCTATATTTGTTCAAATACATTATTCATAAGAAATAATTTGAGCAGTAGTTGTATGCAATTTATGTTGCATAAACTTAAGCAAATACTTGTAACCAAAAGCTGATTTAAAGAATTAATGAGCAATCTTTAAATAAAATTCTATTACTAAATAAATTCCTCCCTGATTTGCAAAGCCATATGCTTCCTTTAGCATCTATTCCAATACTTGTATTAACAGCTGAGTCCCGAGATGTTAGGATAGTGACAAAGAGCTTAGATCTCTTGCTAAGCAGGACTGATGTGAGGTAAGGGGGGAGGAACCATTGTTTTTGAAATGTTCTTAAAGTATTTAACATTCAACAGCAACACAAGCCAATTATATGTTTATGCTAAACAGCTACATTTCTTCTCTAGGATCCCTAGGATTTTTGATTTTTTAGTAAACAAATGAACAGAAATGGGAATGTACCTTTTCACCTCTACTAAAGCACTTCCACTGTCCATTGCTGGACTCCTTTGGACATCAAATTTAACAGTTAACATCTCAGGCTAAGAGGCACTGCAATATAATGTGGTATATATGCACAGTTTGAATTGCTATACCAGTGCTGGCTGTGGAAAAACATGAAAGGTGGCTTGATTTACATTAACTGCACTGCACCAACTCCACACTCCTCTGCACTAACTTGGGACTAAACATGTGCATTATGCTGAAGTAATATTGGTATTATTCTTCTGTAAATTCTCATACAGAACCTTAATAAACCAGATGCTTTTGAACTGTTGGAGATAATGGGGAATGTCTAATTGGAGATTAACACCTCCAATTACTACCCTCCAAAATTATTACCCAAACAGATGAAAGAACCAGTCTGGCTTTCACAAATAGATGTCTTTTGAATATGAATTTAATTAAAGTACATATGCTGCTTGACCAAGAGTTGAGACACTGAAAAGCTTTCCTTAGACTTTTTGGCCTGTGAATTAA